GATACACATCAACCAAGACGATCTTGGCACATGATTTCCCTCTAAACTTATTACCACAGATCTGAGTACAATTGACGTTGATGGAAGGTGTTTTTGCTACTGTGGATCCAGACTCCTCGCCGTTCACTGACAATTCTGCAGTTGACTGCTGAGTGAAGTGAAGTGCTGTACAGTGCCGGTCGCTGCTACATTCACTGCAAGGAAGTTTAGCGTCACAGTTGCGACTAATATGTGATGTTGATTCACAGCACCGGAAACATACTTTCTTGTCACGAAGAAATTTCTTCCTGTTTTCTATGGACTTAGCAAGGAATGCCTTGCATTTGTTTAAGGTGTGAGAAGTCACGTTATGAAGAAAACATGACTTCTTGCTAGCGGCAGTGACGTCATTTTCCCTTAAGCTCTCGGTACTAGTTTTCCTTACAGAAATGTTCCTTTTGTCATGAGGTGTCCTTTGCGCGGAAGTCCTTTCACTGGTTGAGCCGGGCTGATCATACACGAAACTTGGATTGTTCCTGACCTTACTCAGATCCCTCAAAAACTTGGCAAAAAAGCTGAATGGGGGAAAGGTGACATCATATGACCTCATGTAATTAACAGCAGCATTAGTCCATTTCTCCTGGAGATTGCCTGGGAGTTTTGACACGATTGGCGACACTCCTGTCGATGAATCATAATACCCTAGCAAGGTCTTAAATCGATCATCCTCTCTCAACGATTCAATCTCAGATGCTAAATCTGACAACTCAAAGAGTTTTTTATAATCCTTAGGGGTGATCTTGGGGAAGGTTACTAGCCTTTGCTTGAGGGAGGCCTCTATAACCTCTGGAGCCCCATAACGTTCTCCCAGTCGATCCCATATGCGCTCGAGACCTCTTTCAGGGTAGCCGTAATTTGAAGCCTTAAGACTAATGACATGTTTTCTAGACTCAGGTCCGGTCCATTTCTCCAATAAGTCTATCTCTTCCCTCGGTGTGACACCCAGGTCAAGCATGACCGACTGAAAGCTAGCCTTCCATGCCTGGAATGATTCCGCTTTATCGTTGAAGTTAGTCAGACGTGATAGAAGAAGATCCTTCTTCAGCAAGAAGCGGGTAAGGTCTGTAGCAATACCATTCGTACCAGATGTCGGTATGAAGGCAGGAGCGTCTGGGTTCATTGTGGAAGGAGCGACTGGAATGCGCGAGACATGAACGTTTGATGGAGGATCCTGGACTGGTAATGGAGCAGTCGGAAGTGGTGAATAGTGCCTGCTTGGACTGAACGATGCAACTTCCTCGACAAACGCCTTAGTTCGGGTTTTTGGATCTATCATAGGTAACTGAGACAGCGCATACTGCTCGGAGGCATTCTCCAAATCTTCTAGAGCTTTGACTTCCGCCGTAGCGGCGGCGAGTTCTTTCTTCTGTGATAGTAACTCTAGTTCCACCTTGATGTCCGCTTTTCTGTGATCTGATTCTGCTCTGGAATGGGCCAATTCTTTCTCAAGCAGAGCCTGCCTTTTCTTCAACACCGCTTCCTCTTCGGCATATAACAAGCGAGCTCTCTCAGCTTCCGCCTTGGCCTTTTTCCTAGCTGTTACTGAAAACACCGAGCTAACCCTGGAGCTCCTGGAACCCCTGGAGTGGCCTTCCGATGGTGTGGCCTCAGGTGGCGCGGTCTCCCTTAGTTTCTGCTGCTCCGCTTGTTTAATACACATGTCTAGTTCCTTATGGGATTGTTCTATCAGAAGTGCATGTCCATGCCATTTCAGAGTGAGATATTCGAGGAGTTCCAAACTGTTTTCTGTGTTTTTACGTTTCAAATATTCAAAGAAACTACCTTCAAGTTTTTCAAGTCTGTCTGTACCCTCACGAATAGTCCTACCGAGGTTAACTAAGGATTCCACATTCAAATTGGATCCCTCACACCTGATTCTCTGAAGGTGTGTGTCAAGATCCGCCCACATTTTCTCAAACAAACTGCTATGATTCCTGACTGAATCCTCGTAAAGTTCATTCGCCTTGGGGGTTAACACCTTCAACCTTGATTCCCTGCCTTGACCTTCCATGTTAGCTTGTGCGCGGTCATCCATGCTGTTTGAATTCGTATAAGCGTTGACCAGTGTCTGTGTCTCTGACGTAGACGATGTCCCAGTGCCTGTTGAACTCATAGCTTATTAGCGGCAACTCCAGCTCGTAGTGGTACTTTTACTATGCTGACCCATATGCATTGTCACAACAGTAATACAATGTTCAGCCAGTTAACCCTTTATTACCAGCGTTGAGGTAACAATAGTGTGGTAAAAGTCTGTAACAAGAAACGAAGAGAATGGACATTAGAAATCGACGAAAACCTAAACGAACCTTATCCTTATCGTATCTCACAATGCAATCTTTTACAGATATGGGCTTCCATACATAGAAAATTCGCACAATCTGAATAGACTATTATAGGCAAATACCAAATAAATCGTAGAAAATCTCGACAGTTACACCTTAATAAATTCTAAACATTGTCCGTGTATTCATTTAGCTGTGAAATCACCACATATAAAGTTCAAATTAACGTCATGAAGGATCCATTCACCAAAACACGTTCGTTGGTAAACAGTAACAAAAGTTCAGTTATTTTCATTGGCAGCGATCGGAACACAATCAAATCACATCCTAAGCATGAAAAGTAATCATTTTTTCCAAACTTTACAATACTCACACCGTGGTCGCTGCAAGTTGTGCAAACGTTGTGATTTCCTATCACCGCACATACGCAAAACGTTGACTAAACGAACACATATGAGTTCCACAAAGGGAGATAATCTATAGATAAATATTATATTCTGTATGATGGTATCAGTTTAAATGAACACAATAATATCAACAATAAAACATATTTACTCTGATTATTGCAACATCCCTGATATTTAATATTTATACAGTATGTTGAATTTGTAGTTTAAGAAAATACATCAAGTCTAAACACTACTTCTAACAAGTTGCCCTGGAATAGGGAATTACAACTTAAGGAACGGAGAATCTTTGGCTGCAGTGTAACTATTGATTGCACATTTTTACCAATTTGTCAATAATAAAGGAATTCTAAATTTTGGTATTAATGCTGAAATTAATTTCTTTATCTGAACACTCATTGGTCAAAACAAAGTTTGAAAGATAATCTACATAATAACAGGGACTTAAACAGAAATATTTAAGTCTCTGATAATAAAATCTAATTAACATAATGGAAAATCATGTTTTTTTTTTATCTATACATCCCAGGAAACCTCAGAAGTTAAGACTCTCGTAGGGTACCTCACGTGGCATTTTTTCACCCTTCAGAGCGGCCACAATATTCTGGCCAGCAAGCTCCGACATAGCTGCCCTGGACTTTTCGGTGGCACTACCTATATGTGGTAGTACAATACAGTTGTCCAGTTTCATAAGCGGGTTGTCCAGTGGAAGAGGCTCTGGGACAGTAACATCGAGTCCAGCAGCCAATATCTGACCAGTGCTCAAAGCCACATATAAATCTTCCTGATTCACCAGTCCACCGCGACTGGTGTTTATCAAAATGGCTGTCTTCTTCATCTTACTGTAGGCATCCTTGTTAAATATGCCTTTATTTTCCTCTGTCAATGCACAACAACCTAGTATGAAGTCAGACTGTCTACATAAAGTGTCAAAGTCGACACGTTCGGCTCCCACGTCTGAATCGTACGACTTGGCTTCAGAGTCTGTGTACAACAACCTTCCGATTCCAAATGGCCTCAATCTCTGTCCAACAGCAAAGCCAATCCTTCCTAGTCCCAATATCCCTACCGTGGCACCATCTAGTCCTTGTCCACATAGCCACACCGGATTCCATGTTCCCCATTTACCCTCACGCACTGCTTTTATTCCTGAAAAAATACATCATATCCAAATACCTGAATAAGGTTTAATATCATGTGAGTCTTATCATGAAGCAAGAAAATGTGTATGAAACCATAAATGTTCCTTATGCTTTTTTTCTCTCTTTCCCTTTGTCTGTCTTTGCTAAATTTATGTCTCTCTTTGTCTCTTTCCCCTCTTACCTCTACATTTCCATATAAACTATAACGTTCGACATAAAGCATCGCATGACTCATAGTTTTATTGTTTGAATTCATGTAATTTGAAGAAAAAAGTATTAAATATTTCTTTGTTATATATAAGATCTATTGAATGCTTTAACATCATTGACCTAGCTCTTTTACAATATAATTCATTGGTGATCTTGATATTGGAAAGTATTTCAAGGCATTTCTAATTAGCCTAGTCAAGTACTCTGTACAAAGAAACATTCTGTACAGATATCTTACCTTCATACAGACACCCACTCTGTACAGGTGTGTCATGTCTCACCTTCATACAGACACCCACTCTGTACAGGTGTGTCATATCTTACCTTCATACAGACACCCACTCTGTACAGGTGTGTCATGTCTCACCTTCATACAGACACCCACTCTGTACAGGTATGTCATGTCTCACCTTCATACAGACACATACTCTGTACAGGTGTGTCATATCTTACCTTCATACAGACACATACACTGTACAGGTGTGTCATGTCTTACCTTCATACAGACACATACTCTGTACAGGTGTGTCATGTCTCACCTTCATTCAGACACATACTCTGTACAGGTGTGTCATGTCTCACCTTCATTCAGACACATACTCTGTACAGGTATGTCATGTCTCACCTTCACACAGACACATACTCTGTACAGTTGTGTCATATCTTACCTTCATACAGACACATACTCTGTACAGGTATGTCATGTCTCACCTTCATACAGACACATACTCTGTACAGGTGTGTCATATCTTACCTTCATACAGACACATACTCTGTACAGGTATGTCATGTCTCACCTTCATACAGACACATACTCTGTACAGGTGTGTCATATCTTACCTTCATACAGACACCCACTCTGTACAGGTGTGTCATGTCGCACCTTCATACAGACACCCACTCTGTACAGGTGTGTCATATCTTACCTTCATACAGACACATACTCTTTACAGGTGTCTCACCTTCACACAAACACATAATCTTTACAGGTGTGTCATGTCTCACCTTCACACATACTCTTTACAGGTGTCTTACCTTCACACAGACACATACTTTTTACAGGTGTCTTACCTTCACACAGACACATACTCTGTACAGGTGTGTATTATTTTACCTTCATACAGCCTCCGTGATGTGGTCAAGAGAAGAGACATGGTCAACTCAGCAGTTGCATTGGTCAGTACATCTGGTGTAAATCCAACTCTTATGTTCCTCTTTTGACATTCTGCTACATCCACATGGTCATATCCCACCGACATGGTGGAAACGACCTTTAGCTGGGGACCTGGTTATAATAACAATCAAGCTTAAAAGGAATCTATGAATTCAATGCTTGTTACACAGAATTTTATAACTGTAACTAAAGAAACAGCTAAAATCTCAAATGCACTGTGTCATACCTATAAGGGTTGGAGGTGGGGGTGATGATTTAAGAATGATTATGAAATTGCATTTTCAATAATTTGATAAAAAATTCATTATGACAATTGTAAAGAGCATGATGCAAACAAATAATGTTCCTACTTTTTTATAGGCTTACTTCTACCAGTTAATTACCTATTTCAAGTTAGTGAAGATTATGTCATGGCTTATCCAGCCATAGATCTTCTGTCTGTATCGGAGTTGGTACATCATAGATACTAAGAACAGCTTATGTGGTGCCCTGCCAGGGTGAACTTGAATTCCTCAACTCTAGCACTTAATCTTAACTCAACGTTAATATTGTTCTATGTGTGCTCGAAACGAATATTATCATTATACAATTATCATATGTCCAGGCATAGTCCTACTGAGAGGAGTCTGCCTGATAATACAATACAAGTATTTGTTATATTTAGCTTATTATTGACAGAAAGTTCAGACTCCTGTAGCTTACCACAACAAAAACCTTACCTTTCATACTACATAAGTCACATTTGACATCGCTATGACCTTAAGAGTCATGCTTACTATTGGTGTTCATTTGATATAGCCACCAAATTTACACGTGTCCTTGTATACGAGTGCAGGTATTGTCGGATTACTGTAAACATTCATGCTAAATATATGTAAAGTGAAAGTAAATCTATACAAACCTGCAGCGTCTAGTACCTCCTTGTCTATACGTTCTGTAAGTAAACAGTACAGCGCGTCAACACCCTGCACGCGCTTCAGGAGCTCAGCCCGAGGGATAGGGTCTTGGGTGTCCCATTGGTCGACCTGGCAATGTTGCGACAACACCTCCACCCCCACGGGAGGGACGTAGCGAGTGACAAACACTTTAGTAGTTGAGTCGGTTGCAGACATCCTGCAGAGATATCTAACCTTGCAAATTTGACGAAAAGGACGAGGAGTATTCTGGAACGCGGAGATGACCCTGCAAACGGGTGTTATCATTAACCTCATGATAACATGAGAGGTGACGTCTGGGACAAGGGGGATAACTCAAGATATCTTCGCAAACTAGATAGGTATGTATCATACTGAAGAAAAACGCACCTGTTATGAAAACAGCCAGTCGGTAAGCGGACAAATTAATGCAAATGTCATAACAATTTATAGAAAATGCAGTTAATCATCCCCAGACATGCGATTTCGTGAAATAGTCGTAAATACTAGAACAGCGATTTGATTTTGCCCTGCACTCTCCCAGAGACGTATATAACATTAGTTATATACGTCTCTGACTCTCCCAATAAAATTGTACACCAGCACGCGCCCACCAAACACCAGCACGCGCCCACCAAAACGAACTCTTTCTCTTATCCGCTACAAAATTCTTTACTGCCGCTAAAATCATCATTCTTTCTTGTTTAATGGAGTCATCGTTTTTTAGTAAGTACAGTGGGCCTTTATATGCAGCACGATCTATTTATTCTATTTTATTTTTTAATTTAGAATTTCAAATACCGACCGCAAGTTACCTTTCCACTCAGTCTCAAAACTAAACATGGATAAACAAGCGTCAACGAAAACCGAGTCATTGAAACTTTGTTAAATGACCTTTCAAAATCCAAGATACATTATGTATTCCTTTAAAAAAAAACCCACTAGAAACCAATATTTACAAGTTTGTGAAAAGATTCCCCAGTTTCTTCCTAGCAACAAAAATTCAAGAAGCGAATTTTATCTTATCGAAAATTTATATATGAAGAGAATGATCTCTAGAATTCTTCGAAAGAGGTTTTGAAGGAAATCATTGTGAAGGATATCGTTTTCTCCCACCTCTGCCCATGTAGGATAGACATGTTCCATGTGGAACACCCATGGAGGATCCCACATGACTGCACTCGGTGACCACAGTCGGCTATCACAACTGACTCAAACCGACGAGTGGATGCTTTGTTTCCAGGTTCCGTAATGCGCGACTGTAACATCATAGTTAACATTAACTATAATAATCCTTGTCCAGTGAACACAAATAAACGTCGGAGGATCATCTATGACTCTGATTCTGAATGAACACACGCGTGACACTCACGCCATTGAAATATTTCGCGCGCATAAACAATTGACGTCTTTATAAACTGGGAAATCCCCTGTTTGTCCATGACATCGCGGCAAGCCTACCCTACCTTAATAAATGATACGGAGTTAAATGTTGTTCAATACAAAGTATTTCCATGTATCTATCGCTAATTAAAATATTTAATTTCCAAAAAATAAATATTTCTAATGGTTATTCATATTGCGTTTGTAGTCTGTCATTTTGCTCTCACGGAAGAATGTAGAATTTTGGAAACGTGAAAGGTGATATTCATGCGCCATTCAGACACTTGTACCGTGGGATTTTTTTACGTCGTGGCAGAAATAATGGGGTGGGAGAAAAATAATCAACCCCTACCCTCAGAGGATGCGACAGAGAAATCTCCAACCCTGGGTTGTTGTTGTTTTTTTTTAGTCTAACCCTCGGCAGAGCCTCGGGTTAGACAACAACAAAAATCACCCCTCGGGTTGGAGATTTCTCTATCACACCCTCAGGGTAGGGGAAGATTCTATTATTCATAAAATAATTTATTTGCCATACTGCCATGTGGATCCTACATATCTAATTCGGGAAAAGAAGTTAAAATTGTAAATTGTAGTAATAAATTATACTTAAAAAAGGGTTGGGGGTAGAGGGAAATGAGCGAGGAAGGGAGGGGTATTTTTCAGTATTAAAAAAAAATGCGCTCCCTCTAATCCGAAATTCTGGTTGCACTCCTGTTGTTGTCCCTGTATGGGATATAAGTGAAAATACTTCATTTTGAACTACATATGTCATGCCGGTATATAGTTCATGAACATGTAGAGCACTTTTAGCCCACTGTATGACAACCCTGTTTCAAGTTAAAAGGAAAATAATGCGAAATTTCTGTATTTCGTCAGGAAATCACATATTTGTTTTTCGTATGAGAATAGGGAACATTCGTTCTTACTTTATATAGAGCCAACATGATGACATATACAACGTATCGATATCATATTATACACAATACAATATTATACTTTATCAGTATGGCATTACCCTTCGCCATTTTGTACACTATGATGTATACTAACTGTTATGTATTGTATTGTATTGTGTTTGGGACATCCCCCCAACCATCTCCCTATGTCATTATGTCATCTAAAACCAATACAAAAATAACTTACAGCTCACAAAGTTTAAGTAAAAAAAAACTGTTGTTTGACATTGTTGTCATGGTTACTAGCAATAATGTGTCGGTACATATAAATTCGCCTATTTTTGCAAATAATATTTATTTTAACGCGTCAATACTTCGATCGACGCGAAAATCTACGAGATTTCAATTTGAAATATTTGTTGGAATTGATATATAGAGTAATCTACGGCATTTTTGGCTTCCATCGGCTGTCGAGCTTATACCACCTGACAGAATAAAACGAAGGGAAGTAACTCTGAGAGATCACAATGATGTTTCGTGGTGTGCAGAATTTATAATGTTTCTAATCAATCTAAACAAGATTATCGTTTGTCTTTTGGAGGTGTGGTGATCAAACTTAACAGCCGAGGAAAAGACCACTAACAGAACACCACTAGAAAAAGGCAGAACATGGTATAAAGTATTTGCAATAGGAACTTTCTGTGGAAGTTTGCGAAGATGGGCGTTTCCGTGTGAAACTTGGATACAGAGAAACACGACAAAGTTCGACTGTCATTTCCGCTCTTACTGCATTCGGATTACCTCGCCTACTTTCAGTAGAAAATGATTGAATGGTTTATTCCGTGTGCTCTGACTAAAGCTTGCGTTCAGGCGGCTAAAATTTTATTTCTTAAAGCAGGCCGTGAAAAGTGTTTTCAAATATCACCTTGTGTAGAAAGGTTTTTTTATTCTTAACACTCAAAATATATCACTACACGATGATAAAGTTATTTTTCTTTAAAGCAAGAAAAAACTTTCAAAAATCACTAATTGAAATTAAGTTCTTCACTACTTGAAACGAAAGCTCTTTTGATAAGTAAAATGTAAACAAATAAAACGGTTCGCGTCCGTTAAAACCTGACATCACCTTTTTCATTCATGTTGTATGATGACATGAAATGGCGTGTTTGTGGTAGCAGGGAATCCTCACTCAAACTATCCGTACTACCAGTCAATTCATTTATATTTCATGAAACACAAACACAGAGCGTCGGGGTTGGATATTTTTAGAGGTTTATTTGGAGAAACATTTTAAGCTTTGGATCTGATTCATCGCCGTGTCTTACAACACAGAAAGGCGTGTTGGTTAGTTAACAGTCCGTCAGGATGACATTGTTAAACGTAATGAGATTGCAATGCTTTATAATATCCTGTGTGTACTATATTACTTGTGTGGTTGTTTAACAGACGATGTCATCTTGAGATGGATTCTCCTCGTAGTAGTCTGCACATACCATCCAGAGCAACCGGATAGGATAATGTCTTTCAAAGAACAACATGGTCTGTGATCTCAGCCTTCTTGGAAACACTAACAGTCCCGGGTTGGTATCGATGCACACGACTTGCATCGTCAATTGTGGTGCTCTCTGACACTCTGTACCGACTGATATCACATACCGTACTAGAGTTATCTTTCCTTGCGTGCACTGAGAGTAAGGAAAGACAAGTCCAGATAGAAATATTGGGGAGGGGGCAACTAATTAAAGAATAAGTCGGGTTATCATAATTCAATCGTAATTATTCTGGTACCGTCATCGAACACGATTCACGGACTTATATATGTTCTATCGATTCTAAGTCCGTGCTGGAATTTGTGTTATTTTGTGTCTTGTGACAAGGAAGACAACTTCGGTAAATGTTATTTATAGTTCCAAAATAGGTACATCTAATCGCGTCAGTGTTTTATATCAATTAAAACATTTTCTTCTCCATATCTTGTCATGAATTCAATAGATTACTATAAAATCCACCAACACAGTCTAATACTGTTAAAAAGGAAAGACGTGCAGTCGTAAATAAAATCATTTTCACCAAACAATTATATAAAAATATGTTTTGCTGAATTCTCCTGATCGGCGTTGTTTGATGATGTTAGTGTATATAGGTACATATGAACTTATTTTAAAATCACATGTTAAGTTATAAATGATTATGATGATGACTACTATATATGGTGGTAAAGAGGGGAATTTCTAAACAAGGACCTCTTGTCCTAAGTTGCCAGCCACAACCGTTGACAAATAGATGACGACACATCACGTGACATATAGGTCTACGTAAGTGTATATGTTGAAATAGTGTTGGGAGGAGGTCACCCTTTCACAATGGATGACGCAGACAACCATGCAACCGGAAGTGGTCTTATTAAATTGTTTTAATTATGGCCATCTGCAACAAACTGGCCAGTCAACTCTCACGATGATATGATACACCAGCTGACGTGACTTGAGGATTGTAACTGTTGTGCAGTGCCCCTAGCTCTTTATCAATATTTGGACTCCAGTAACAACCAACGTGGCGTGGTTTTCGCAGTATATAGGCATCCATGTATGTATTTCAAGTATAACCTCTCTTTTATGCATGTTCGTGATAGTATAGAAAGCCAGTGGGGTGTTCAGGAACGGATAAAACATGTATTTACTAAACCAGCCTTTTTCTTTTACTCTATGGCAAATCATTTTCACATCTGTAATATGTACATATTTGTACAGCCTTACTCGTCATGATGTATAAAACTTTTGAGACAAATATATTTCAAAAATATTCTAATAAAAAATATACTCAACATTGTATGTCAAAAGAATTGATTCAGTAAAATTTTAATTGTGTCTCGTCTTTTTCAATAAATCAAAAAATGCGGCATAACATATTGTCATCACGAGAAATACAGTACTTAATTACTTTTAAGAGACAAATTCTTATTATTGTGTGACTATACTGATATTTGTAAAGAGTATAATTTGATATATAATCGATATACAGTTTTTATATTTCTTATTAAATAAACATAATATAAATCGATTATACAACATCACTATGAATCATGTTGTAATTATCAGCACGCGTTTTTGCAAATTATGTCGTGGGCGTGCCCTCAGTTAAACCATTTCGAAATCCGTGGGTCTCGTTCATCAAATTGATTTCTTTGACATCAATTGTACCAAATTAGAGGAAAGCTGTCAAATTAAATTTTAGTTTTTAATTTTAGAATTTTAACATTTAACTATGGTGTTGTTAAAACTTATTGCTAGAAGAGGGACCTGAGAATATGTTACAGTAGGTCTATGTGAACATGGACCCACCTAAACTGTATGCAATTCTCAGTTCCTACTGGTACGTGTAAGATGTTTTGACATACATCTATTGCTTGTTAGGATGCTGACATCGTGGACTTTGACCCGTACATTGTTGGGGTGGAGGGGGGACAATGTAAGTAGTCCCTGTGTAACACGTTAGTGAGATTCTGAAGCTGTCTTATTACTACGAATTTTGACCTCAATAATAGGACTTAGACCCTTATAGGATTTTTCAATTGTGTGATCGTCTTGCGAGTGTAGGTCTCGGCAATGTCAGATTACGGTCTTTGTTGAATTAAAGAGCGAACAAATATGATCTTACTACATCATATCTGATACTTATTAAACACGAGGTCGTTACATCGTAATATGTTGGTAATTTCTTTCTTTAATAAATCCTACTGTTGATGAAACCGGTTCTATAATCTTTAATTTATTAAATCTTAATACGTGTGTTTAAAAATAGGATATAAAATACAGGATGCGATAGTCTGGAGATTTTCCATCAACATCAGGATTTGAATACGTAAACAAAGAACGAAGTTGTGAGCGTGCGGCCCCACACAGCCCCTCCCGTGTCCCCCTCCATATGGAAGTGATCAACGACCTTTAAATGACTGCACACAACATGACTTCCCTTTCGCGACTCAGTTTTCAAAACACAGCGGTCCTGCACTAAAATGCGATCTTCATATCATATGCAATCTGCATCTTTTCTCACACCAACCTAGACATATTCAGGGGCCTAAGAATATCCATATCAAGTACGGAGACATAAAGCACAGGCTTTCTGGATTTTATTTTAAAGAATTCTTAAAAGCTTTTTATCTTGTAGAGAAGAAACTGGCACATAGACGGGGTAGTAACAACGAAAGCCAAGACGAACGAACTCAAAAATAATACGAAATGGTGTTAATTCGAATTTTATGTCATTTTCAAGTCATAGATAACTCTCTGACTATATTCACAGAAGAGTGTTTGATATTCCGACCGAATATCAATTGTGTACCAATTTAGCTAGAAATGTGTTTGGATGTCGGGTGGTATAATGGTCAGACATCTGTAGAATTGCTTCCTTCTCCTGTTGTGTTACAAGGACATCTGTGAAGAGACTTCGTTAGTCAGTTAGGCAAATCAGCGCCCGAACCACCGATAGTTGTGTTCAATGAACGAACATTGACAGTTCTGGGAACGAAGTTTATCACATACGTCAAAGGTTTTCAACGTTAATATTTGACATAACGACCAGACCAAAAATAGTTTCAGATGTTCAAAGCAACCAAAAAAAGTTATCATTTGAATAATATTGTACTTCAACAACTTTTAACCAATTATAAATCCGTATTATGCTTTACCCGGATCATAGCAACTATGGTTGTTTCCTGGAGGGCCGAGGAGGGTTTGGCCGTGATGGTCGGAGACCGAATTGTACAGATAGATTTCGCTGCTGAACGTTCGACCCAAATTTAGTATTTGTTTTAGGCACTGCCCTCTAAAGCTGGTGCGACTGACAACTCCTGTCATCTGATATCCGGATTGAAGTAGCGCCCCAGCTACTTATCGCGGTATCCACTTCAATCTTCTCTCGGGTCTGGATGTAGATATTTTGTTGTGGGCAGTTGGTGTACAAACTTACACTGGTCCATTGAGAAGTCGAAAGGCTGTAATAGAGGGTTTAAAACCGGACATCGCACTCACTTTTATTCTGAATGCAATGTTTCCATATAAAATTTCCCGTGTTTTATTTGAAAATCACCAAATTTGGGTTCAATAATTTGTGATAAATTCGTGTTATGGGCTTCGGCAGAGATGTCTCTGGCTTCGGTCTCTGTAACACCAAATGGCTAATTTGTCTTAGTTGAAACTGGTTTGAATCACGTGGTCTGGCGATATTCGATATAATATCAGAATAATTAGGACTGTTGAAAAATTGTCTTTTGTGTAAGCTATGTTAAGGAGGGACGCATATTGATATAACAATATATTATGATTAACGTCTCATCTCCTTTACACATAAGTTGTACAATATACATAAATAGTACATTCGTCAAACAGAATAAAGGGGTAAGAACCTATCGTCAATGGACACTTCTCTAACGCTAGCTTTTGTTTTTGATCACTGAGCCGTGAAGTCCCATCTTCTCCACGTTATAATGTAACCTTATCACCTATGCCCAATTCACTTCCACGCTGACACGCATGACCAGAGTCTTTTTTCGGCCAGTGAAAAGTGCATCTTATTTTCGTAGCAAAGATGACACTAATTAAGATAACATTTCACCAGAGACGTATATATATGTGATATATACGTCTCTGGTTTCACAAAACTTACATCAGTCTAAAATAACGATACCTAGCTTTGATTTTCTCCATATTTCGGGCTGAAAGTGGTCTACAAAACAGGATGGTAGTTCAGCTGTAAGTAGCTTAAACATGAATTTTGTTTGAAAGATAAAAAGAGTTGACATGTGTTTGTCTCAAAAGTTAGCACAATCAATTTGAAAATTATCAAGCTTTCTACTTATGTTTATTTTAAAAATGGTAAGTAATTGGGGTTTTTTTTTCAGTTTTTTGTTTTTTTTTTTAGAAAAAAAGTTATGAACACAACGACTCTAGTTAACTCCAACTTCTGAGGTGGATAACATGAAAACGAGATATACGCAGTGTCATATCCCTAGGGCTGTTTTATACCTTATACGTCCCTGCCCATGTTTGAGACAGAATCTCTTTCCCTGCCTTTTTTAAAACAAAATGTTCACAAATAACATTTAAAATGCTGTTGATTTAACTTGATGTGAGAACGTACACAAATATAACATCTGCGAGCACAATACAGATGTACCAGATGACCTGGGACAGCAGCCTGGTACAGAAATTCACTAGACTGGAAACATTAAGTACACATGTATTCAAATGCCGAGCACAACCTTAACCGGAAATGAACCTCCGATGGGGGAAAATAGTACATTATTTGGTGAACAAAATCACGATAAATTCAGGAACTTCTAAGTCTAAGATCAAACAAAATCTTTGTCACAAGATACCTGGGTCTCTGTTATTTCTTAATATGAAAGTTTTGATTCGAAATTAATTTTAGATCGGATATCTGTCTTATCGCCAGCACAGTTAACTGGATTTATCTTTAATCTCTTTTATTTTTCCTTGTTTTTTTTTTTTTTTTATCAAATACTGAATGTTTTGTTTTTACGATTAACTAGATAATTTGTACTTCATAAAATTTATTGGCTAATACAATTAAATTATTTCTAGTATTATTCATATCAAATAATGAATAATTAACACAGGCACGTGTAATAGATTACACGTTCCATGATTACACAGAATATATAATATACAAGCATTCCTTAATTATATAAATGAAGGATCTTGTGTGTCACACCTGTCTCTGCTGGAATTTTCGGTTACTTTGAACACTAACTCGCCTGTATGTAATGCCTATATGTCGGTCATATAACACTGTCATCAGCCCGCACGCTGTCAGCACCTGCCTCAACATCCGAATTCATACATGTAGTCGTTTATAGCACCGTCTGGCATTACTGTCAACACACCAGCTGTGCTAATATTTATGGTTGAGTAGCCAACTTTAACACAGCTTCGGAGATTTTTTTTTTTTTTAATTGACATTATGTTTGTCCGCTAACGTTGATTGTAATCACTTCATTTCCGGTCGATAATTTTGATCGGAATTGATCTGATTTTAGAAAAGAAAAAAATAAGATGTTTCAATATTAAGAGGAGGCCAACTTTAAGTAATCATATTCTGTCAAATTGTTTTACATACCAGTCAGCATTTGGTATCTTTTGTATTTTTATCATGAAATCGAGCAAATCACGGACAAAGAAATGTGCGTGATCAACCTGTACGCCAATATTATACCATTGAAATAAAATTATAGCAACTGAAAATATTTCTCATAAAAGATAGATGCTTTAAAAGAAAACAACCCCTAAGCACTTTCAAACGCACAAAGATCTGTTATCTTACACAGTGATCTGTCAAGCGTGACAAATTTTCTGATTACCCCCTAGGCGCCTCTATGAAGTTGACAAAGTCGCGCGTTCTGACACTATTCCCATACCCGCCATTCCCACAGAGGAAACACACGATGGTCTTTGTTTACGTTGTCATTCATGGATGGAAAATGTAGTCCGGTAGGCGTGATTTAAATATATATATCTATGGCAATATTTGAACATTTAGGGTTATGATTCATAAATATGGTTGCAAGCATTTTTTAATTGAATATTTGTACTTTGTAGTCGAATCAATTGTTGTTGAAAAACGTCTTCATCAGTCGCCATTTATTTTACAGTGTCATCGTTTAAAGGGATTTGTGACAGTGATGCAATTTCGAACTTCGTATTCTGACTAATAAATAGAAGTGACATTCAACCAGCGAAAATGTGAGTATTTTTCGGAACAAAGGGTTTATTTTGAATGTACAAACAATGGATCTTAACTGAGGAAGAAACCCTTTTTATAAGAAACCATTGAAAGCTATATAGATATCCAGAGATTGGTAACGAAAGTTATTTTAGGGGGCCCTATCGTGAATTTTATCAATTATTTTTGTCACATGATAAGAATATGTCATTAATGATGGCTGCAAATGAAAATTGATCAAAATATTTAACATGTTATTCGTTTACAAAACTAAACGGAGACCATTCTAAAAATATTCTCTATTCACGTTTCGAAATAAGCGTTTTGTCTGGCCCACCTCAAAAATGTCATTCATATGCTTCAGTGGTGGTCGATAGGTACCCTAAAAAGTCAGTAAAGAAAAATGTTATTTTTTATATAGTACAACATTAAATATAATACTTTTATCTGTCAGAATTGATTTTCATATAGCTATGTCCCATGGCAAGTATCTATATTTGACACCTTGGCTGTTTCATGTGACAAAAGTTATATAATTATCGCCTGAGACACCCCAAGGTAGCCAGTCCCATATGTAGCATGTAAGTTTTACCCCTCAGCATCTGCAAACAATAGAGATTAAGTCGCCAATCATTTGTAGGGTTTTACTTTATATATGTGATTTTATTTTTGTCTTGCTCGCGGTTGATAGAATTTCTCACTATATTAAAGATGTTGAATTCTATGTATCCAGGAAATAGTCTGCATTCAAACAATATTTTTATAGTTTACATCAGCATGATGGTTATAAATCATACATAGATGGAAAGATTAATAGTTCTTCTACTAACTTGCATATATGTCAAGGCTGTTGAATGTAGTAAACTAAGTATTTCAAATTATTTCTCTTAAACAAATTTTCTTTCCCAGCATATATGTAATGGCTGCCACTATTCCAAGTGGTGTCAGTAAACCTACGAAAAAGTAATTAAAACTTTTTGGAAATTGGCAGCAATAGTCGATCACAATCACCTGAATATTAAAATCAGAACTTTTTAAATATATTGTACTAATGTAATATTGCTAGTTAAAGTATGTGGTGGACATTATTATTAAAACGAATAGGAAATTCAGCTCTCAAAATTGATGATTCAAGTCGTCTAATTTACAAGATTTTACTGCTGAATTGTCTCTGGGATTCAGATTTTGTATCAGGTAGTCCAAGATATCTGCTAAATACTTTTATGTTACTATTGTCGATACACTTAGTCATGAGCCGAGGACATGTCATCATGTGTAAATACCTGTTACAATATGTCACCCTTCAAACCTGTTCAACAAAAATCTTGAAAAAAAAATCTTAATACCTGTTTCATTATATTCTGTTATATGATAAAGTGATTCTATATAACAGTACCAGCTTTTTGACACCAAACAGACATTTAGATATGTATGTTTGTATTATACATTAGTTGTGGATTCTCTGCCTGTTTATTTTATCTAAACAGTTAAAGTTTGTGTAGAGAAATAGATAGTATTGAAACTGTCAATCAAGAGTATCAAGGGGGTGGGGGAGGGATCGTATGAGAAGTATCTGCCTTCTATTCAACTGTATCATGTGACTGGTCACCTCACTAAACATCTCACTAAAAAGTACTTTTCAACTGCCTAGAAATAAGTATCAAGGCACTCTCACATCTTTGGCAGAGTGTTAAACAAAGGGTAGCCAAATTGACTGCAGTTTATTGTTACCATCTGTTTATCATCTTGTCACACTAACTTTTTTTTAGTGTACAGAGGATTATAGCATAGCTGAAAATGTTTGTAAATTTCTTACCATCTCATACACTACATATATCATTTGTCTGATGAAGGCGACTGTGTAGTCATCAAAATGTCACACTCTAATCTTCTACAGGTTCTGTTTTTAGAACTTTTGTTCTGTTGGCATTACCAACCCGAGGAAAGTGTTCCAAAAAAGTGAATTTTGTTTGGTCAATATTTAGATTCTTAGATTCAGAGTAAGTTGTATTGTCATTGTTTTTTAAAGTCTTGAATTCAATCAGTAGAACATAGTTATGTTTTGTCGTAATTTAAACAGAGATTTGGACAGGAGTCACTATGAATTTTGTTTGCCTTTTTGGTCCATTCTCAATTTATGTTCCTAATTAAATGAAATTCAGATCTCAAAATTAAAAATGGTTGCTATAGCAGCCAATTTAAAAAAAAAATTAATCCCTACTACTTTATCAAATGCAGTTTGACTATCGTGGCATTCAAGATGACTGCAATGACAACCAACTGAAAAAAAGTTATTTACCTGATAGGGGTATGGAAAACCACACACTGCTGATTGGGAAAATTAAAGTCAGATCTGAGTAAATACAGGATAGTTTTTCCATTGAAATGCATCCTGTTATTGGGCCGTACAAATGCCTAGTGAAATCAGTCGAATATAAACATTCTCTTTTATATGTCTTCATTTGTTAGTGAAACAAGTAACTTTATAGATGTGACTTTGCTTCCTTAAATATATGTGGTGATTCAACTAACATAATTATCATTTTCAATTCAGGAAATATTTGCAAAATCAAAACCATCAATAATTAGATGTGTCATAAACACTTTCTGAATGCATTAGGCATTCCTGAATTTCTCAAATGAGGCTTTTAGTGTCAACCCCCAAAATAGTCAGAAAATTACCTCATGATATTGGCCTATTACAGACCTTTGGACAATAGGTTTCTTATAGGTTTCAGTAAACTGCAACATGCATTTCATTTTGGGAGTTCCCCAAGATATCAGAATGTTATTCTGTGCTAATTGAAATTTTCGAGAAAGCCAGGAATTTTGATGTTATTCAGTGAGAGTGCAAGATTTTTTTTCCAATTTCAGGATCAGTGGACTTTTGGGAGGTTTTGGGAAGTGGTCTAGATTGACCGGAAGTTCAGACGATGATTGGATTGATCGTCTTAACCATATATGGACAGTGGTGATGCTGTCACTATTTGCGGTAATTGTAAGTTCAGGTCAGTATGTTGGTGACCCAATTCAATGCTGGTGTCCGGCAGAATTCACAGGTGCAAGAGTGTCATACACAAAATCTGTTTGTTGGATTTCAAACACGTACTACATTCCCGAAGAAAATGAGATACCAAAGGATACAAGGGTACGAGAAGAAGCAGAGATAACTTATTATCAGTGGGTGCCCCTTATATTCCTCATTCAGGCCCTCATGTTCAAACTTCCTAATGTTGCTTGGCACATGTTGAATGGATACTCTGGGATAAGTCTTGACAAAATCACAACAATGGCTGAAGATACAATGCTGGCATCACCAGAAAAACGTAACGAAAAGATAATGTATATCGCTAAATACATGAATCGATGGATTGAAACACACAGAGATTGGCACTACAATTTCTTTGTACGAATGAGACAGAAATTCTCCAACATTTTATGTTTCTGTATCGGGAAGAGAGACGGAACCTATCTTACTGGATTCTATTTGTTTGTCAAAGCTCTCTACTGTGTGAATGTCGTCAGTCAGTTTTTCTTGCTTAATGAGTTCATGTCTATGGACTACAATCTGTTTGGAGTTGAAGTGATAAGCTTTCTGATGGCGAATGATGAGTGGAAGGCATCGCCACGTTTCCCACGTGTCACACTCTGTGATCTTGAGATCCGTCAGCTCAACAATATACAGCAATGGACAGTCCAGTGTGTCCTGCCAATCAATCTATTTAATGAAAAGTTGTTCATCTTTTTGTGGTTCTGGTTATTATTTGTTACAGTATTAACTTTCATTAACTTCTCTAGCTGGCTGTATCATATAGTCTTCAGCGAGAACAAAGTTCACTACGTGAGAAAATACCTCACTATACTTGGACAGTTAGAGACAGGTTTCGACAAAAAAGTTTCTCGTAAATTTGCTGAGGAATATTTACGTGGAGATGGGGTGTTTGTTCTTCGGGTTGTTGGTAAGAATTCCTCAGATATGGTGTTAACAGATTTGGTTCAACACCTCTGGAAAGTGTTCAAGGAAGAACATTGTAAACTGCCAAAAAAAGAGGATAAAAGTGTTTCGGAATCAGAACCAACAGAAAGAGATATGATGAATGGGGATGTGATTCGTGCCAAAGACAACAACTTCAATGTATGAACTTGTGACCACAATGCTCAGAAAATTAAGATTTGTTCTGTTGTTTGAGATTATTTTGGTATTTTACTTGTAGTATGTATTATAATGTTATGTATAAAGTTTTGTCAATATTGTCAATACAAATGTATCATTTTGTTACTCAGTTCTTGTTAAACTACAGCTGGACACTTTTGACATAACAAATTATCAGAAAGGGATTGAAGTTTGTGACCAAATTGAAGGCAACATTGATTAATTTATTGGTTCATACTGTGCATGCTAACAATAGTTTTCAACCTATAAGATAGCTTTTGTACTTTAGTTGTTTTATTACCAATTTATCTGTATATATATCAACTTGTGTTGTATTTAGTAATTATGAAATATGTTAATCTCTTAAATTATACATTTACTCATTTCTGAATTAAGCCTGATGTATTCGGTCACACAGTTCTTTCTCATTTATAGCTCTTAAAAATTCAAAATATCAACTGACCAGCTGTACACAATTAAGAAATTTTTGTTTCGGAAATTTTCACATACATTATGTGTGTATTTGCTATGTGTTGAATAGACGTACTAAAGTGTGTGTCAACATATCACATGATCTGTAGCCACAGTAACATTAGTATATGTCCTTATTAGGCAAGATTGCAATAATTTTGTATTGTAATGTTCATATCTCTAGTCAGTATTGGTTCTTTTATATTCAGTGATGATAATGAAAATTAATACTGCAGTTTTGTTACCTCGTCATCGAATTTTATGTGACAGCTGATGGGTTTATGAATGAATCTTGTTACCTTAGAGTTTACCATTAAGAATAAGTGAATACAGTAATAAACAGCATTGGATTGTAGTGGGTGGAGTCTTAGATAAAAAATTAACAGAAAAGTTGTCATTGTGAAAAAAATATTGATCATGATATTGCGTTTTACATTGATGTATGTATGTAGTGTTGTAATATTTGTAGGATTGTAGGGGCATTTTGTTTACTCGCATTATATGTTGTGATAATACAGGACTTTCTATTTGGTAGATCTATATCTTGTATCAAATGATCAAGTATTTCTAAATTGTAAAGGATTAATATTCTGTGCAATAAGCAATAGAAATATATGTCTTCTCCTTCTTACTTAAATCTTGACATTTTAGCTGATGTAACTAAACCTCAGAGTTGCTGATGTCCATGCTTATACACTAAAAAATCAATGTCTTTTATTTCTGTTGTAATCAGTGAAAATTGTGGGGGGTTTTTTGGAGGGGGGATTTACATGTATCAGTTTTTGTTGAAATTCTAGCTTAGTACCTAGTCATCCTGCCCATCAAAAATTGCAGCTAGTCATTGGTCAGAAACCCAGTTTCATTCACTCTGAGAGTCGCTCTCTAATAGATATGCAAACTGCTGAATAAACATCTCTTCTCTTCCATTTTCACCTAAGCTTGTTACGTATATATGTCACTGTTTTTATTTGCCTTTGCTCATTAACAATTTTTTATTCGCCCATCATTATCAGTTTGTGTCAATTGCTGCCTGTCCTTCAAAAATTCTCTTTTTCACAATTTCTGGAGATGAACTCAATCATCATCATTCTCAGATTTGATTTAGATTTCTCATAATCCCTAGTTGAACATTTTTAGACTGATCGGAGAACAACATGGCTTAAAGAGCTGAAACAGAGGAAAGAAAGAATAGAAGGAAAAATATTTACAACTTTTTAACAACAAATTAAGATCTGAAAATGGTGTGCACCAAGATCCCATTGGGATCTCTAGTGCTACTACAATAATGTATGTAGATGTTTATTTATAATGTTCATGGTTTCTTTGTTTACCCTGTTTTTCCTTTTTCATTGTTTTGTTTTTTGTTGTAGCAGTTCTGATATTGTTGACATCCACTCTTATTTTACTGGTACAAAAATGGAATATCTACTGTGGTATTAAGATAAAAATCAGTATTCATCAGTTGTATTGTGGTTTAGATATTGATTATCAGTATTACCAAAATGTGTTCATGATAATGATGGTACATCACTGTTGTATCAAATGCTCAAGCTGTGCTCTTCCAAATTGTGTGCCTTATGTTTTTGACAACAGCTGTGGACCAATAAATTTACCAATATCTATTTTAATAAAGAATTAATACTGTTTAAAGGATTCAGTTCTTGTGTTTTCAAAGGTTTTATTGATATGTGAATGACTCTCCCTCTCGACAACACATGGAAAAATCACTTTTGTTGCATCTGTCCATCTCAACAACACAATGGGAAAGTCCATTTGTTGTGTCTGTCCATCTCAACAACACAATGGGAAAGTCCATTTGTTGTGTCTGTCAATCTCTCAAACACAATGGAAAAATCACTTGTTGTGTTTGTCCATCTCAACAACACAATGGAAAATCACTTTTGTTTTGTCTGTCCATCTCAACAACACAATGGGAAAATCACTTTTGTTTTGTCTCTCCATCTCAACAACACAATGGGAAATCACTTTTGTTTTCTCTCCATCTCAACAACACAATGGGAAATCACTTTTGTTTTGTCTGTCCATCTCAACAACACAATGGGAAATCACTTTTGTTTTGTCTGTCCATCTCAACAACACAATGGGAAAATCACTTGTTGTGTCTGTCCATCTAACAACACATTTAAAATCACTTTTGTGTGTTTTTAACAACACATTTTAAATCACTTGTTTTGTCTGTCCATCTCAACAACACAATGGGAAATCACTTTTGTTTTGTCTGTCCATCTCAACAACACAATGGGAAAATCACTTGTTGTGTCTGTCCATCTCAACAACACAATGGAAAATCACTTGTTTTGTCTGTCCAAATCACTTTTGTTTTGTCTGTCCATCTCAACAACACAATGGGAAAATCACTTGTTGTGTCTGTCCATCTCAACAACACAATGGAAAATCACTTGTTTTGTCTGTCCATCTTAACAACACATTGGGAAATCACTTTTGTCTGTCCATCTTAACACAATGGGGAAAGTCACTTGTTTTGTCTGTCCATCTCAACAACACAATGGGAAAATCACTTGTTTTGTCTGTCCATCTTAACAACACAATGGGGAAAGTCATTTTTGTTTTGTCTGTCCATCTCAACAACACAATGGGGAAAGTCATTTTTGTTTTGTCTGTCCATCTCAACAACACAATGGGAAAATCACTTGTTTTGTCTGTCCATCTTAACACAATGGGGAAAGTCACTTGTTTTGTCTGTCCATCATAAACACAATGGGAAAATCACTTTTGTTTAGTCTGTCCATCTTAACAACACAATGGGAAATCACTTGTTGTGTCTGTCCATCTCAACAACACAATGGGAAAATCACTTGTTTTGTCTGTCCATCTCAACAACACAATGGGAAATCGCTTGTTGTGTCTGTCCATCATAAACACAATGGGAAAATCATTTTTGTTTTGTCTGTCCATCTCAACAACACAATGGGAAATCACTTTTGGGTTTTGTAAGGTTTGCAATGTAATTAAAGTATTTGGTTTGAGATTTGTCAATGAAAAAAGAAAATATCCGAATAAAGGAAAATGCTCTGATTGTCATGCTTGATCTTAAACCGTGACCGTTACCCTAGAAACCATGGGTCGTGAAATTTGACCTAAAATGACGAGAAAGATGCTTCAATTTAAGGTTTACATGAATGACCTTCATCAGCTTTGAAAGTTACCACATCTGGTGTCTTGTCTAACATCGATTTGAAAATGAAAACTAATCTTATCAGTTTTCCCTTATTTACTAAACATTTTGTAATGTACCCAGGTATCATTATTAGGTATTAAGCGTCATATTTGGACTCAAAAATACCCACTTGTATGAAAACTTTGAATTGCTAGTAAGTGATTCATGCCTTTTGGGCCTTTTATGGAGCCCCAAAAATCTTTGATCCGCCACTATTATATATCAAATGACTACAGTGTTTTTCGTGTAATTATTGATCAAAATGTCAGCGACTATCATAATTGGCGTTTTGAGTGTATGTAACCACTAGCAGGGAAGTGGTAGGTCGGGGCAATGACCTCTGTTATTGATGCTGATAGTCAAAGTTCATTGTGTATATACCACAACGAAGCGAGTGATGACAGACCTGTCGGAATGTGAAGCATTAACAAATCTCTTTCCACATGACTTTTTTTTTTTTTTATCTGAAACTGAGTTTTTTTACTTACTGGCAGTTTCTAGCTGCCATTGTTGGTATTTGCCACGTGATCGTCGGACGTGCTGACACATATATTTTAGCTGTAATGCCAAAATGTGAAGACACTGACCATGTATTCTCTATATAATTAAACCAAATATTTCTTGTAGCTGTGAAATATTACACAGAAAATTCAACTGAACATCTCTTACATCAATATCATATCGTATATACGTCGCCATTCTCGATATCCCCGGTTACACTGTCCGTATCGCTCTCTGCACCCCTGGAACATAGCATCGCCACTTTGAATTTTGATGTTATAGTGACAATTTTTTGATATGCAACACTGCCCTTTAAAATGTTTTCTATGATATCAGATTTTCTGCTGGACCGAAAAATTCTGTCTCTAAAACGCTAATTTAATGTCATTATTCTCATTTATTTGTTTTTTATATTAATTTTTTTTACTATACTCTTTTTTGGGTAAGCATATTCTATAAAATTGTAAATATCAATAACAGCATAATAAATCAATATTTACAATAAATTAACGTATTTGAGACAGAAATTTTCGTTCTAGTTTTCTATGTCGAGGAAAATATTAACCAGTCACACTGTTATGTAATGTGGAGAACGTGAACCATGTTTGTATACTGTCCTTCTCACTACCAGTCACACTCTTACACAATGTGGAGAACGTGAACCATGTTTGTATACTGTTCTTCTCACTACCAGTCACACTCTTACACAATGTGGAGAACGTGAACCATGTTTGTATACTGTTCTTCTCACTACCAGTCACACTCTAATGTAATGTGGAGAACGTGAACCATGTTTGTATACTGTCCTTCTCACTACCAGTCACACTCTTACACAATGTGGAGAACGTGAACCATGTTTGTATACTGTCCTTCTCACTACCAGTCACACTCTTCCACAATGTGGAAAACGTGAACCATGTTTGTATACTGTCCTTCTCACTACTAGTCACACTCTTACACAATGTGGAGAACGTGAACCATGTTTGTATACTATTCTTTTCACTACCAGTCACACTCTTACACAATGTGGAGAACGTGAACCATGTTTGTATACTGTTCTTCTCACTACCAGTCACACTCTTACACAATGTGGAGAACGTGAACCATGTTTGTATACTGTTCTTGTCACTACCAATCACACTCTAATGTAATGTGGAAAACGTGAACCATGTTTGTATACTGTTCTTCTCACTACTAGTCACACTCTTACACAATGTGGAGAACGTGAACCATGTTTGTATACTGTTCTTCTCACTACCAGTCACACTCTGATGTAATGTGGAGAACGTGAACCATGTTTGTATACTGTCCTTCTCACTACCAGTCACACTCTTACACAATGTGGAGAACGTGAACCATGTTTGTATACTGTCCTTCTCACTACCAGTCCCACTCTGATGTAATGTGGAGAACGTGAACCATGTTTGTATACTGTTCTTCTCACTACTAGTCACACTCTTACACAATGTGGAGAACGTGAACCATGTTTGTATACTGTCCTTCTCACTACCAGTCACACTCTTACACAATGTGGAGAACGTGAACCATGTTTGTATACTGTTCTTCTCACTACCAGTCACACTCTTACACAATGTGGAGAACGTGAACCATGTTTGTATACTGTTCTTCTCACTACCAGTCACACTGTTATGTAATGTGGAGAACGTGAACCATGTTTGTATACTGTTCTTCTCACTACCAGTCACACTCTTACACAATGTGGAGAACGTGAACCATGTTTGTATACTGTTCTTCTCACTACCAGTCACACTCTGATGTAATGTGGGGAACGTGAACCATGTTTGTATACTGTTCTTCTCACTACCAGTCACACTCTTACACAATGTGGAGAACGTGAACCATGTTTGTATACTGTCCTTCTCACTACCAGTCACACTCTAATGTAATGTGGAGAACGTGAACCATGTTTGTATGCTGTCCTTCTCACTACTAGTCACACTCTTACACAATGTGGAGAATGTGAACCATGTTTGTATACTGTCCTTCTCACTACCAGTCACACTCTAATGTAATGTGGAGAACGTGAACCATGTTTGTATACTGTTCTTCTCACTACCAGTCACACTCTAATGTAATGTGGAGAACGTGAACCATGTTTGTATACTGTCCTTCTCACTACTAGTCACACTCTTACACAATGTGGAGAACGTGAACCATGTTTGTATACTGTCCTTCTCACTACCAGTCACACTCTAATGTAATGTGGAGAACGTGAACCATGTTTGTATACTGTCCTTCTCACTACCAGTCACACTCTAATGTAATGTGGAGAACGTGAACCATGTTTGTATACTGTTCTACTCATTACTACATGATACTCGTCCACAAAAATGTCGTGATTGTGGACGTAAAACTTGATAAATAAATTGAATAATAAATAAACTATATATTGATACCAATTTATTATAATGATGTAACCAATTTATTATCGTGATATCATTAAATTCAGAAGTTATATATATATAATGGTTTGGTGATATGTCTATAATGGTTTGGTGATATTTCTATAATGGTTTGGTGATATGTCTATAATGGTTTGGTGATATTTCTATAATGGTTTGGTGATACTTCTATAATGGTTTGGTGATATGTCTATAATGGTTTGGTGATATGTCTATAATGGTTTGGTGATATGTCTATAATGGTTTGGTGATATGTCTATAATGGTTTGGTGATATGTCTATAATGGTTTGGTGATATTTCTATAATGGTTTGTTGATATGTCTATAATGGTTTGGTGATATGTCTATAATGGTTTGGTGATATGTCTATAATGGTTTGGTGATATGTCTATAATGGTTTGGTGATATGTCTATAATGGTCATATTTCTATAATGATAATAATGGTTATATGTCTAATATAATAAATAAATGGTTTGGTGATATATGTCTAAATAATTTCTATAATGGTTTGTGATATGTCTATATATATTCTATATAAATAAATAATGATAAGCGTCACATATATAATGGTTTGGTAGATATGTCTATAATGGTTTGTCCGCTGAAAGGTCTTAACTGGAGACGTAAAACCCGTTAAATAAATTGAAATGATAATACATTTTTGAAAGATTAGATAATTTTATTATAAGATCATTTTCCTTGTACTAGCACAGACAGTGCTTTATGTCTTTTTTTCTCGAAAATATTCAGTTCTACCAAATGTATGATGCACAACAGAAATAATTATTAATTCATTACTTCTCAAAACGTGTTCTCGCAGGTGAAATTGAAGGAGTTATCTCCCTGTCACCGGGTAAATATCGATAATGTCTCGCCTCTTTATACTGAACACAATTATCGATTTCGATCGCCAGATTAGAACACGTTAAAGCTCGAGATCCCTGTGATTCAAGCGTCAGAAACTAGTTTTACAGCATTTTGTTGGAACATAGGTACTTTAGTTCAAGTAAGAAAAAAATCTTTATTATTGCAATTAATGACAAAACCATGCGTCCCTGATATAATATTGCAGAAACTGAAAAAAGGAAACGGGTTCTCAACTGACAAAGTTACCAACGGAAAGAATTTCTTATGTGACGTACCGAAGTTCATCTGTGACTGTATCAACATTTACGATTTGGTTCAATTCTCCCCCTCAAAAAGAAGATGGGACAATTTGATGTCTATTTGCTCATAATTCACTTAAATCATAAACTATTTTATCAAAATATGAAATTAATCATGATTCAGTAAAATTTTGGAGATATATATATATAAGTATGTATGTGAATATAACAACATGAAAAGATACATTAATAAGTAAAATGAATGTCACGACTAGATATGGCGGGAAACACTCGTGTGGTGACATGTTATACATGTTACTGACGAGGTCAGAGAGTGTAAGAATTCCCCCTCCCTTCTTTACATTTAGTTTACTTTCATCGCATAAACATTTCCGCTGAAAGTCGAACCCTTGATGTAAGATGCCTGTACACAGCTGTTATGGGGTTCGCGGTTTACTTGTGACATGACAGAGCGTGCAGTGTAATCGTGATGTATAAACTGAAGCATCTCTGACCTGTTACAACTTGTCCACTTGATTTCTATTGGTACATATATATGTTGTTAAGCTTTGAACTGAAAACATTTAAAAATAACATAAACGATATCAGTATCCCAAGGTAAAATTTTACAAGAGTTACTTCCCTTCTACCATATCTTTATCGCTTGGTCAAAAATCAACGTGAGCAAAATGCTATGGACCAGTTTCTGTAATTAATGTCTGTTAAATATAACAGGAGGGGACTCACAATGGCACTGTATCCTATTATTTAGATTATGGTTGAATACAGCAGAGCTATATAGTCAAGCTTTATAAAGATGTACTTTTTTCAGTTATGGTAGAGATCCGGCATATTCCTTTAATCGATATATTGAAAGATTTATATTCGTGACTCCTTGATGGAGATCCAAAAGTAAGTTGTTGTACGGTGATGTCTTACAGGGTTTCGACTGTATTCTCTGTCAACCAAAACAACAGTCACGTGTTCTGCTTGAAGGTAAAGAAGAATTTGTTCGTTGTTTTGGAATTATGGAACTTGTAAACTATATCTAGGTGTTCAAATTATTGTTCTATATCTACGTATACTTAAAGTCACTTGTTCTAAACAATATTCCTGCATTATGATGTCTATAGTGTACACTTTGCGTTTACATATATACCATAGTCACGTTTTACATTGTATATATGGATTAATCACGTGTTATGTGTGAATATAGACTAAAACTTGTGCTATAGTTTTAAAAAGTCTATAGTCACGTGTTACCAGTGTATGTAGAATATGTTCACGTGATATGAGTGAAAACAACATATGGCATATTCTATAATCACGTGCTAGGTAACATAGGCCAAAGCGCGTTATCTATCTTTCCATAATTAAGGAACTCATTACACTTGATTCAGTTAAATGTTGTTGACAGCTAGGTATTTTAGCTAAGATATAGGAGCTACATGCGTTTCCATTTTATTTTTTCATTTTTAAGATAAGTCTTACAATTTTTTATCTTGAGTGTGCCTTGTGGCGTGCTATAATGAAAAAGAGAGTTCACTGAATCACTTATTCAATTAAAAGAATTTAAGATCCTCTTTCTCTCAATACCGATTATTCAGCCAAATATTGTAGAAAACATGTACACATTTCTACGTCAAACTCATAAATTCATTGCCTATCTATATCTATGGTCTCCAATATTGCGTCACAATGCAATCTGAGTGTGTGACGTCATTTCATTATCATAGTCTGACGTTACAAAAGAATGTTTATTGATTTAAACATATTTATTTGTCGTATAACAAAAAAGATTAGGCACAAGTTATCACAAATTTAAAACACCTTCTCCAAAAGATTTCATTATTCACGTCACACGGCAACAATAACAAAAGAATGTTCTACACGTGTGCCAACTATCACATGGATATGTTCTCTACATGTGATATGAGGTGTAAATAAAAAAATGTCCTGATTTTCAGAGAACGACAGCTTTTCTAATGATATTTAAATAATAAAAGATAATATTTTTGCACTTTTCTTAAAATAAAAACAAAATAATTCCAGTCTGAATTCAGGAGTGGTCAATTCCTTCTGACTCATTTCATTTTAATCTTTTCAATGCATTAAAGTTCCATATTAGAAATCCGCACAACGATTGCACAAGCGACAGTGTTTTGAAATGTATACACATAAGGTTAGTTTTCTAGACTTGTTGACCACGCCCCCTTTTTGTGACGTCACATCGGCACCTTTTGTCAACAATTAGGGTAGAGTATGTCGTAATAAGTATAGAGAGTGTAATGCGTGTAATGATGTTTCCATATTTCGAATATCAAAATATCTATAAACAGAATGTTTGAAATTCCCTCAATAGTTCAACGTGACAAATTCAACCTCTCGCCTCTTGAGTTCTGTTTTACATAAAACTTCATGTTATGATTTAGAGTCAAATAATTTTCAAAGTCAGAAGGCATATTTTTTCAAAAATCAAACACAACATTGTGAATATTATAAATTAACTGTATGAGTGAGAAACTCGATTCTCGGCTCTGAAAAGCGTGTTTTATTAGGTTTTGTTTTAGTGGAATTACCCCGTCTAGGGCCCCTGTCCCCGCAACACTTTAGCCTTTATCGGAGCCCAAAGGAGTACCGATCCGTGAACTCGTGAGAGCTGTACGACAAGCGACTGCCATACTTGTTTTCGATAGAAAGTTTAGACACTTTCGGATAAACAGAGAGGGCACAAATATTACAGGTAAGTGAATATATGATACATTATTTGAATAAGATGTTCTGTTCCCGATTATCGTCGGTGTTGTCATATTTAAGTCTAAAGATGTGCTGTCGCCATGTCACTTATAAAACTTTGTATAAACTTTCAGTAAGTTGTGTAGTTGTATACATGTGTGTAGCTTCGACCAGGAAAAGGTTGATATTTTATCATGTTTGATTTCGAGAAGATTGAATGGTGAATCTGTCTATTTTCTATGATTTTCGTACAAGTTCGGTGTCAAATATACCCCGATTTCCTCCTTGTAATGCACAATCACTTGCCATATTTTTGTATACAATAACACACATACATAATATGCCAGGATCATATATCTGTTGTTACGGAGTCGTGCGTTCCAGACAAACAGCTTCTGACTGAGGAAGTAAAATGTCTCCGTTCTATTAAATCTTACTGATGATAATGTTTCAGAGTACTGACATCGTTTTCAATCGATAATTGATAAATATCGATGAACTTAAAAGTTACCCATACAAGACAACAGTATGACCAATTTTCTATTTTAATGTTATATTTAGGAAACAATTCTACAATCATCTTGATACTCGTGACTTCCACTGATTGTCGAGTCCAAAAATTTTGAAAACTAAATGAAAATAAGTTACTATCAAGACTTAAAATGCAACAGTAGTAACGTTTATATTTTATTTCATGCTGAAACTGTCTATTTCTAATATATATAGAATGTTGCTGAGACGGCAATACTTATAATTAGTATGATGGAATGATTCTCAAACAAAAGAATTTCTAAAATTAATTAGTACTAATGAACCTATTGTCATAAGTGATTGTAATGAGTTAACAACAGGTGTGTCGGTAGACACTTTTATCATAAAATAGATATATCCTATTGGCACTAATTTTTTGTCCATTATAAATCCATTCTGAAAACAATTTCCAATGTTCTTTTTATGCTTACGTGTTTACGTCTCTTTGTTATGAAATGCATAAGTGCGAAAAATTTAGAGGAATTCTCACCTTCATTATGAATACATTGAAGAGTTATCTCCCCCTTGCCCGTACGCGGCTTGAGTAAAAGCCATGAACATCTATCGGCTTGAAGCCAATGTACACGAAACTATTTATTTAAGTCGATGGAAAGTAAAACTAATTTGGACGAATTAAGAACCAACCGGACAACATTAATTATTTTTTATTTTTCGCCTCATTAATTAGAGTGATTAATAATTTAATATTTATTTATTATTTGTATATATATATGATCAATGAAGTAATAGCAACAGTACGGACAAGCGAATTGTCAAATTTTCGTGTAAACCTGCCCCTTAATCAGGACACAAATATTACATAAATTACCTCACTTGCATAGAACATAAAACAAATACAAATTTATAGATCTAAAACGAGAGCGGTTATGTATACGTATAAAGATTTGATAGGAGCTGGTATCAGTAATAATTGCCGATAGAAGTGTGTCTCGTCAGCTGAAAGTTCGAAGTACACGTTATTAAGTAGAACGAATCCGTCAGTATATTGGCATGCTTTATAACTTCTGATTATTTGATCAACTGACATTTTGTCCCAGGTGAAGACGTGTAGCTGTAGGTCCCATTATATAAGCAATATTTCTGAGCCATCTTCAAATTTGTCCTAATTTATAGACATGCCTTCCGCTTTGTGCACTTTGCGATCCGGGTACCGCGTTGTTGGCTGATAATTCGTAACTTCCAAGGTTGAAATCTTGCATATTTCTTTCCCGCTTGACTTAACATACCATGGTGTCTTATATATTAAAAAACTACTTCTATTTATACCTGTGTATTTTGTCACAAATTGCTCTCTACAATACCTTTATATCGCTGTATGTTACCTGGAAACGTGTTGGCTGATCACCACCAAACCGTGACGTGTCAACCATCCAGGCACAGTCAGCAGAAACTAGATCTAAATTATATAGATAATTGTGTTGAAGTTATAGAAATAATCAACTTACCATCTAAAGATTAAACTGAAAAGAATTCAGAAAAGTAACTTGATTCAGAGAACGAAAACAATAACTCAAAATTTCCATCTTCTAAAGAAGAACGTGCTACGGGTATGACACGACAGGTGACGGATATATAGTCACCAGTCGGGTGGTTTGTATATCCCTGGGGTATTGTTACAATTATCAAAAGGGCCGACTATATTAACAAGCATTTATTAGCAACAGATGATTGTGGCATTACTTCACAGATTTACAGGGTTACAGTAATAGGTACGTATTACGTCATACTGGTTACCAGGCAACGTTTGATTTTAAGGAGACTTTTAAACCGCTGGATTTATTATCTCCCTTTAACTTGCCTAATTTATTTCAAAGTTAAGACGCTTAACACAACAGTAATATCTATCATCCTTTGCGCATTAAAAAGTTCCTATTGTAAGAAAAAGGAAGGAAAATTGTTTTTAGACGGTGCAGGCGATTGCTCGGCGTCATAATACAATTAACTGACCGCGTGTAACATTTATGTGAAAACCGTCGCACCATTTTGTTGTAGACGAAGGCGGTCTCTATTTCATTCTCTGCAGTGATATAAGCGATGACAACCTGTTGCATTTTGCAATGTTGTTAGCGACGAACATTGCCAGCTCTCGTTACAGTTTACACGACAAGACAAGATAATTACTGTTGACAATGGCGTTAGTTGGTATGTAGCAAATATGCCCACCAGATTATAGGTGTTTGCACAAGATGCGGCTTATTAAGCTGATGTATACAATCACGGACACGGTTGACGGATTTCATTTTACTAGTTATCTTCTTAAACTTGTTGCATGAAAAATTAACAACATATAATCAGTCTGAATAGAAATGTTGACGATAAAATTAAAAAAAAACCCCAAAAAACATAAAAGTAGTGGAGAGATCGGCAAAATCTTCAGCAAAACAAGGTTTTGCTTCAAACAAAATTGTGATTGTGTTAAATGATAATTACAAATTACGGACATCGACATAGATACGTATCTAATAGCTAGGCGATCTATCTGCAAAAATAATATCTTTATAACACTTCTTTTTAATTCTAATAATTATCTTTTACATTGTGTTGTGACTGCAGCATGTAACGTAATTAGGTTTATATTTCCTGTTGTAAGTCCGGGGGTGGGGTGGGGGGGTGGGGGTGGGGGGTTGAGGAAGTGGGGGGGGGGTGAGGAATGTTTAGGGGTATACGTCCTGACTAACTGGTCGATAATTAATTGATATAACGACCCCAAGGGACTCTGCTGATAGATTAGAGAGAAAAAAACAACCAAGAGTTACCTAACCCAAACCTGAAACGTATCAACAATGTCTTATCACGGGGAATTCATATTTGGGTCAGAACATCGTCTACAGATAACACCCTTGCCCCCCCCCCCCCCCCCCTCCCCTAGAAAATCCGATACTTCATAGTGACATTGATAATGAGTGAGCCGGATACATCCCGATAGTTCATAGTGACATTAATAATCAGTGAGGCGGATACATACACACACATATATATACTTAGTAGATTTAAACTTGACAGTGTCGATGTACTTCAGAAAGATTAAAAAAAAATCAAAAATAAAGAAGTCCGGTTTTTTTTTCTTCTTTTTTTTTTGTAAGTCGAATATTTTATGTTTGATATTTTACCCGAGGTCAAAGCACATGTGATAAAGAATTAACTGAGAACCTGTTAAAATTGTAACTAAAATAGGCTTGGCGTCACAATTGTCACAGTAATTTATAGGTCCTATATAATACTCTGGTTAAATCCGGTTTAGCCCATGACACCGGTAATCTCACATTTTAACAATAGGATAACTCATTGAGAGGTATATTCTCACAAATATCTTGCGTAACGAGAAAGCAAGGTCAGCTCTTGTTTTGTTACCCTTTTTCTATAACAATAATAAAGACAGCAGTTTAAGGTTAAGTACGTAACCATAGCATTGTTGTTTAAAGACACAGGTCGTCACACGATGTTTCCCTCCTATCTACCTGTGTTGAACCAGCCCATCAGGTGTTTGCTTTTAACTTATTTAGGTCAGAGCCAGAAGATGATAAAAACGATTTATACTTGAGCTTCTATTCTGTTAATGCCCTGTTACGAGCTAGGGTATCAGTTTATAGAGAAATCTTGTCGTAAAATCATCCTCAAACTCCACTGTTTATTTCTGTTAGATATCCATCTCGTACCCGAACACAAAGCGCAGATTCCGTAACACAATGCAAGACACTCGAGGCGCAGATTCCGTAATCTACAATGCGCTCTGCTCCCCTATCTATATATCAGGCGCCCTGTTACTCTAATTCAAGGCGCTGTTTGTGTCCCTTAATACAACCATATATGCATTTATCATAATAAATTTGACAGCAATATTTACAATGAATACGCTGGCTGTTTACACAAACACTTGTTGACGTTTTATATCACATCCAGTTGTTATAAGATACACATGTGTTACGTATACATGCACACACAGACCAATACATATTGGTCTTGTTTTCAAGCGAATTCCATGGAATCTTAGCGCTGCAAAGCTGTCATCGTTCACGTGTTGTTGCACGTCACCCGACCATTCATCATACCGGCGAACAGACACTTGTTAGGTGATATTCATTCTGTAACATAGTGGGGTCGGTTATAAAATCTTGATAGCTGCATTTTCTGTGCGTCATGTGCATACGATATTCGATCTAGCGTGGGCAATGTATACCAATATTGACACATGAGCTGACTTCTATCTTCTTTTTGTCTTTTTAGGATGTCTGAACTACTGGGATTCGTCCCAAGTTTTTCGAAACTTCGGGGGAAACCGAATGACGATTGGATAGATCGAATGAGTCATGTGTACACCGTGGTTGTCTTGGTGATATTCACAGTACTGGTCAGCTCTGGTCAGTTCTTCAAAGACCCGATACAATGCTGGCATCCTGCAGAGTTCAAGGACTCAATGGAATCATATACGAAGTGGAACTGTTGGGTAAAAAACACTTATTATGTCCCTATGAGTGACATTATTCCCGAGGATATTTCTTCCAGACAAGAAGCGGAAATAACATATTATCAATGGGTACCATTGATCCTTCTGTTCCAAGCGTTCCTTTTTAAGTTCCCTAACATGGTGTGGAGAATATTCAACGGTGGATCAGGATTAAATCTCGACAAAGTTGTCCGCTTTGCTGAGAAGACGCAGATGGTGAGTCCAGCTGACCGTGACGACACCATAAACTGCCTGGCCAAGTTTATGGACAAGTGGCTTGATTCCAATAAAGAACACCGATGGAATGTTGTAGTTCGGACCAAGCATCAAATTTCAAGGTTCATGTGTTTCTTCTGCAACAAGCGAGCAGGGAAATATTTGACGGCGATGTATCTGTTCGTTAAAGTCCTTTACGTAGCGAACGCAATCGGCCAGCTTTTCTTACTGAATGCATTCATGTCTACATCCTATAACTTTTACGGTTTCGAATTTCTTGATAATCTCAATTCGGATCGTCCCTGGAGAGAGTCCCCTCGCTTTCCTAGGATCACACTGTGTGATTTCCAGATCCGCCAACTCCAGAACATCCAGAGATTTACTGTACAGTGTGTACTTCCGATCAACTTGTTCAACGAAAAGGTCTTCATTTTCATCTGGTTCTGGTTGATCTTTATCGCCGTTCTTGCCTGCATTAACCTCTTCCGTTGGCTGTATCTCATCGTCTTTGCAAAGAATAAAGTCGATTATGTGAAGAAGTATCTAAAAATCAACAACGAACTCCACACCAACTTCGATAAGAAAATGTGCACACGATTCGCTGAAAACTATCTCCGTGACGACGGCGTATTCGTGCTCCGATTGGTCGCGAAAAATTCAACAGACATTGTGGTCACCGACCTTGTGCGTGACCTCTGGAAAATCTTCAAAGAGAAACAGAGCACTAAAAAGAACGAGCTAGAACCAACCATGGAGAACAATTTCGATGATGCAAAAGAGAAAGAACCGCTAACATGACGATGTCCATGCTGCGACACTGACGACGTCAATTGACACGTGATTAACACGTGACACATTTTGTAAATAGGCGGGAAAAAACAGCAGACGGACCAGTGTGGCAGCAGGTATTGGTAGTGCGGTAGGCAGGTAACTTCCGGTCCCATTCTCTTCAAGGCCTGGTCAGTTCCGCGATCACGACACCCAACAATTTCGACATTGAAACATATTTCGTTGATTTGTGTCAAATTTTTGGAATTTGATTTACTCTTTTATAGAGGTAAAACTTACCAGGATTTGAAGAGCCGGCCTGGATCCCCAGTTTCAAAACATATCTAAAAATAGATTTTATTCCTCCACTTACGATGTTATTGGATAAAATTATGTTTTGGAACTGGGGTCAGTGAATGGTGACTGTTAGCGCTGTCCGCGTTGCTTTGCCTCGCTGGCCATATTGTAGGTGCTAGGTGCGTGAATCATTCCAGTGTTTGATCCAAGGAACCCTTTTAGACGTTTTTGCTTATAGCGTTGATCACTTTGAAGACTATTTCCTAAATTTGTCAGAATTGAGAAATAGTATATTGCCAAGATATTTTTAGTGAATGTCAACTCGTCCAAAGGACCAAATTACTGTTGACAATGGTTATCATTCATTGTGATATCACATTTATTGTACTAGTAAGTTGTGAATTAATTTTTGTTCTAGAATTTCGCGAGACATTTTCAAAATTCGAAATAGGGTAATATTTTTGTTTTATTTCAATATACCTTCGTTTATGAATGTCAGTTGCCTTGATATACAAATATACTTGTCATAATTGCCAGACAATTTCAAATATCCACATTGTCTGTATCTATGGACATTTTTCTGGTAACTTGACCGGACAATAAATAAAACGTGAGGTTTACTGTGATATGATACTCTTTTTTCCCTATTTTAAATTGAATTCAATTTTATTTATTTTCTTTAAATTTACAGTTATTCCACGTTATGTTAATCTATTTGTTAAAAAGCATTTCTAACCGAACGTAAAATCATCGTTTCATTTTCGCAAACAATCTACATCGTGTACATCTTTCAGGTATTCTAAAATAATCTTCTTAAAATATTGAGGTTTAGGTAAAATTTTATAATAGAATTTGTTTTGATTGTTTTTCTTTGCGCATTTCATTATTGTTTATATTCATATACTCATTATCATAGGGGGCATTATATGTTTGTGCTCAAATGGCTGCCAGAACGTGCCTTATGTAAATACAGATGTATATTGATGATAATTGTATACCATAAGCATTACATATATATTTTATAACCATTTTTCCTTGCTGAAGTTAACACAAAATTACACCGTCTTCCATTTTGTATAGCATTTTAGATTAGTTTAATAATCAATCGATTTTATGTACTATTTTCTGCATGTGAGTTTAGATAGATAATTTTAATCAACCAGTGAAGCTATATATAGTACAATATAGACCACCACGTAGTTACAAATGACGTCATAATTTGGTACCAAAGTTACCACATTTCTCATCAACATTTATAAGTTGAAATATGTATTAAAAAGAGACTTTTTAGATCACATTTATCAATGATTAAGACAGGAGAAATAAGAAAAATTAATAGTGAAACTGAAAAAATGGCTTGCATCTTTTTTTCCAAAGCCAAGATTGTCGCATGACGTCATTCAAGTTTTACGTCACAATGATTTACGCTATTTGTTCACGTGTCATACTTGTAACAGATAAAGTCAGGTGAGTGTGAAATATATAAAGTACCGACTTTTAGATAAAAAAAAAATGTCACAACGCGAAGATATGGACCACTGGGTGTCCTTGAAGGCGTTTTAATTAACGCGAAGATATGGACCACTGGGTGTCCTTAAAGGCGTTTCCATAATTAATGTAATGGATGTTAAAACACGAATGATAGAGTAGATATGATTGATAATTACTAATCAAATTAATTCACTTGTTATAGTGTTCACTGTTTGATCTTGCCAAAATGAACAAAATATTTTTTTATTTGCTTCAACATTCTATTGTGATCTCATAATTGTTTGTGTAAACTTGAGCTCGGGTTGTTTAAAAGTATATAAATATTTTTGAAACATTTGATTTTGATGTTTTATCTGGATCACTTACGTGTGTTAAGATTTATGACGAAATAAAGTTTACCACTTATTTATATAGGGGTATGGAAGCTGATAAGCATGGTGTTGATATTAAAGTATTGGCATTCCAGAGTATTATATGTCTGGACACGAAAATTGCACTGTGTTTGTAATTCACTCGGAACACATGTTTTCTCTTTGATAAAACCGGAAGCCGATAATAAGGAAAACACGAGGTATTCCGATAGGATATTTCACTGCACACGAAATGTGGTTTGTTTTCTACGAAATTGGATGGATGTTGTACTTAAATATTTGATATGTGAGGTTTGTGTGAAGCTTTCTCTATATGGCTGAATAAGTATGTAAAAGAGAAAATTATACATGTTAAAAAGTACTGGAAAATGTATAAATTTGCATGCTTTGCAAGAATATAAAAAAAACGATACACTGTGCATCTGAAAAAACGCTGCATGTGTAAATGTTTCCCGATACCATGTCTGTCTAACATACGGACACCACACTGTCTGTCCTTCGTCCGTCTGCTGTATAAAGTCTTTGTGTGAAGGAGGAGGACACTTAGTTGTAAAGCATTTTCATGAATAAATCAAATATCACAAGAAGTACAAACTTTTGTTTTCTTTTTTTCCCCTGCAATATTAACGAACAAAATGGTTTACTTTGCTTTAATTCATCAACGGTCAGTACGTCATCACGTTAGATAAAACATCGTATCGTTGTCTATCTAAGGCTGGTCTCATAGCAAGTTAGTATGGGTTATTGCAGGTATGACAAGGGATATCGCCCGTCACCAAAAGCAACAGTTAAGACAAAACAAAACAATACGGAAAGCACAACGATTCTTATGGTTGTAGACAACTCTGACAAAGGACACCAAATATCTTGGAGAGGAACATGTATATTACGGTGTACAAATTGACAAGGAAAAGTGAAACATGATTTCCGTGACCGTATGCAAACTTGACAACATGAAAAGCGTCATGATTCCATCGGCGGTTTACAAACTCAACACGGGATATCAAAACAAAAAATGACTTCTGTAATTGTTTTCAAATTGATTGTGAACATCCAAAACAAAACGGGAAGCATCATGAAATCTGTGACAGTATACGAACTGAAAAAAGACAACAAAACAACACAGGAAGCCTCAAGACTTGTTAGTATTCAAACTTGACAATGTATATTCTTGTGAAGGTATACAGACTGGCTAAGAAAGTACCATGACATCTGTGACGATATACACACCTGACATGGGACACCAAAGCAAAACGGAAAGCACCAGAACGTCTATGACTATACGAGCCTTCCATAGCTACCGGGTACTAACTTATATATATGTTATGTATATATTAGTATGACGGACAAGTGAATTGTCATAGTGTCGAGGCAACCTGCCCCTTTATCAAGACACAAATATTACATAAATTACATCACATACATAGGACATCAAACAAATACAAAGTTAAAAAGTTAAATCGAGAACATTGGTGTAAATGTAGGTGTTTCGATAATCCCTTTGGCTAATGGACGCCAAAGGCACTTTATACGGAAAAAACCATCATGAATATGTTAACTTCTCTACTGATAAAATTCGCTCTGTCGAATTATCTGTCTGTGTCAGGAACGAGGAAATGTGACAGTCTAGTCACGTGTCTGTTAGGAAAAACCTTTTGATTTACTAATAAAGTCGGAGATGTGAAGAAGATTGATTACATGTCGTATCAACAGGTATGTTTGCCTTAAAGTTCACCTGATGTGTACTTACGTAGAGGGAAAATATGGACGCTGAGAATACAATTATATCTATGTCTTTACTATCAGAGTTCAAAGATGATCTTCATTGAAAACAATATACACTGAACGAAATATATATGAATATATTATCGTTCCATATGAGCCAAAATCAAAAGGTTGAAAACGGCGGCCTGCCCACCCAATACCGAAATATTGTCATGTAAAGTGTACGATTTTCACCAGGGTCTGTTTGTCTGTCTGTGTGTGTGTGTGTGTGTGTGTGTGTGTGTGTGTGTGTGTGTGTGTGTCTGTCTGTCTGTCTGTCTGTCTGATACTACTAATTAGCAAGCCTAACTTGCGCTGAAGGGGACCATGTGAAAAAATTACACAATAATTACGTAGTCATTTTAATTTTCTTTCATGGTACGTTTTAAATTCAAACAGTAACATTACAAAAAGACGAAGCTTGAGTCTGACACTAGATCATTAAAACGCTTTCAGCCTATATACATTTATAGAATTAACGATGTATCTATAAATCAATTACTGATTGATTGCATATCAAATATCCGCCACCTAGAAATGTTTGAGGTACCAACTTTTAATTAGATTTTTTTTTCAACTGCTAAGTGAAAATAGACACTACATTTAGATATAGTTGTATTTCATACTGTGTCTAGTATTACCGGCCGTTGATAATGTGCAACACAGTTGACACAGCAACAGCAAAACATTCAGAATATTGATGAATGGTAGTCCAACGAAATACAAATATTGATCTTAGTGTAACGTGTAATAGAGTCGACAAATTGTTTCATTATTTTAGAACTCCATTTTCGCTGATCTGGAAAATGTAAACGTATTAAACAGATCATATTATTTTATCTAGAATACGATGCGTTTGAGCCAAATGATAAATTAAACTAAAATACAGCTGTTTCGTTCTTCAAGAGCTCGTCAGAGATACTATATCATACAGCTGTTTCGTTCTTCTAGAACTCGCCAGTGATACTACATCATACGGCTGTTTCATCCTTCCTTTTGGGAGTCGCCAGTGATACTACATCATACAGTTGTTTCGTCCTTCTGCCAAAATAACACAATACAACACAATTTAACAATAGTCACGTGATGATATTGTGAAAGATGAAAAGTTAGAAGATTTGTAATATACACATTGCCACATAAAAAAGATAATATAGATTTCAACATAGGAGAGAGAGATAAGGTGATGATCTTATGTCATAGTGAATCTATTAAATGAATTAAATAGTTTTATTTATTTATTGATAGAGGAGTTGAATAATGTCAACATGTTTTGAATAGGAGTGTAAGATTTCATTTACAGTTTTCGACACGAAGCAACTTTTCCCATTTTTCGACAATCGTGTCATTTATTTCCGACGTCACAACAGTCCTGTAACTAACACGTTTATTCACGATATTTATGACCACGGTGTGACGTGGCTTAATGTTCTATTACTGTGACCAATGGAAATCCCTGACATCAAATATATGTCCTTCAGAAATTCCTAAGACGTGTCGTCATCTGTATATAATCTGCATGGGTTTCATAATTAATGACATATCGTTGGCCAAACTTTTGCAACGCAATATTAAATGCAATAAATGTGACGCCATGATGACGTCATTAGTGAGGCAAGAGGTAGTCCGGATATAACGGAAAAAATCTGCGATGGTCGACAGGAGCGTGACAAAATGATGTGAATGTTCAAATTTCTCTGTACCGTGGTAAACTGTTCTGTAGCCCAGAAAGACTTGTATCATAGAAAAGTATTCCTCGGTACAAAAGATAGGACAATTGCCGGTTATATGTAAAAATCACAATGAGTAAAGGTATCTGTGAATATGAAGAGTAGATGCAGAAAAATACATAACTTAAAAGGATTCGGGGCCTTTATGGTGCGCAATTGATACAATTGTATCTCAATGAGATTTTAAAGAAAGAAGATTCGGTGAGGGGATGTCTTCTCTCCAAGTAAAAGTGGCGAATAGCTTCGTTTTACAGCTGGGCTTCGGGTTGATTCGCCGTATACTCTGATATGTCTACTTTTTTGGGCCTCCTTCTATTTCGTCATTTTATTGGTGGTATTAATGTTACATTTGATTTGTAATGTCGTATACTCTGATATGTCTACTTTTTTTGGGCCTCCCTTTATGCCGTCATTTTATTGGTGGTATTAATGTTACATTTGATTTGTAATGTCGTATACTTTGATATGTCTACTTTTTTGGGCCTCTCTTTATGCCGTCATTTTATTGGTGGTAATAATATTACATTTGATACATGATCAAACACTTGGTGTATATAATTACCGCCAGTTGAGATATTTGGAGATAGAACGGTTATTATTTAAGGATTTTGCCTTTACCTGTACGTTGTCATTATCTCACTGGTAACAGTAATATCTTATCATGTTTTTACTATTAACGAGTAAAGGTATGGGAGTCACGTGCTCTACAAATTTAGATCGGGTTCTCGAGGTTCCTCTCGCGCGTACATCCGGGTCATCAAGAATGATTATTGTTTCCTTATGTCATTTCTTTCGTGTTTGTTGTCCTCCTGTAAAGAAAACAGTGAAATTATAAACAAAGAACATGGAGTTACCACAGAGCTTAGAAATGAGTCCCCACTGATGTAGAATGATGTGTGATTTCATTGGGAAGTATAATTATAACGATAACAGAGTTTCGTGGTTTAAAACCTGTTGCTACTTTTTATAAAATGTTGGACCCGTAAAAAATTTTCAGAGTTTGTTTCAGGGGACAGTTGATCATTTCCATTAAGGAGCAGATCTAAGTCACAGTGAACTTGTAAATTCATATCATTCAAGCGTTGGAAAAGGACATTTCTGTGAGCATACCGATGGCATTCAAAGGAAAAGTGATAGACATTTTCACACATATTTCAACATACACAGCTATGGGTATCCACATGGTTCATCCGAAATAAGCCGTAATTAAGGGAACTGCAATTATGTCTAAGCTTAGTATGAATAATGTTTAGTTTACAGTCACCAATACCAAAGTAAGAAGGAGACAAAGGAAGATCGTTAGGTATTAAAGACTTTTTAAATAAGTTGAGCGAGACTGATGACCTGATAGAGCTACCAAGTGTATTCCAACTCCGAAGAGTAGACGGCAAGAAAGAAGACATGGTAGTTGAAAGACGAAAGAATGGGATTCTATAATTATTACTGTTTCTCGAAGGATAACGAACTTCATCTTGAACAGTAGAGGAAAGTAAGGAAGAAAGATATTCAGGAGTTTTGTTAGTATGCATTTTATATAAAAGATGAAGTTTCCTTCTCTGAAAATAAAATTGATTCTGTAGTCTCAAAAGATATCTCAATACAGAGGTAAGATTTTTTAAGTTCAGAACCTCAGTTTTGGGGTTTGCAACTTTTTGTGACCCGTGCGTGGAATGATCCTATCGTACATACATATTATCTCACCAATAAGTTTCTCTGTGTGTTTGGCATTGTGGTCCTGACTTTATCAAATTGCTGATGGAATGTTATCGAGTCTTTGTCTTTACTGTGACGTCATCTATATTGTTATGATTCAGAGATCCCTTTTCCTTGTCCCCATTTAAACATAACAACGAAATACGCGCAGTTCAATAGAAAAAGGGAAAGACAAAGATGCATTGAATGAGGAAAGCGGGATCTTGAGTTCGAGGGAAGCTCATAAAAACCTCTATCCAAGGAAGAAATTATCGGATGTCTCACCGCAGTTTTGTTGAGGGTTTAGAGAAAAGACCTCCGAGGAGATGAGGAATACTTTGTCTCGAAGATGACATGGCCCATGTTATTACTGCGAACAGTTTGTGATTCCCTTCTATTAGAATGTTCCTGGTGTCAATTATTCTTGGCTGAATTAGGAAGAACTTACTGTAGAACTATCTACTAAGTATACAACTTATATTGTTTACGTCAACGACTTTCGGTTTAGCACGTGTTTCTCTCAAGAGAAAGAAGACATCTCCAGAGGAAGGAGACATCTTTCCCTGACCGGGAGTGTTGCAATTTGTATTTGACGATGTAACAAACGTCGCCTTTCTCGGTTTCCTGTAGCCCGGTCGTTTCCACGGACAGATGTCTGGTGCGAATCAGAGCGACGTTACCATCAGATGTCAGTTACTTGATGTCGGTAATTTACTAACAAAATAAATCCACCATGACGACCTAACAACAGAACGAAAATGCTTGCTTTCTGACTTCCACAAAGTAGGGTTTTTTCTTGTAGATTTATTCTTTTTTATTTCCATATCACCACAAATATCCTTCCCAAGCCCCACGTCCCACGCCCCAACCCCAACCCCACAAAAAAAACCACATACATCACTTCTGTCTTAATTCCATTAAATGACTATGTTTAAAAATTGTGTTTTTACTATCGGTGCTATATTTGTTTTCTAAAACAAACTTTTGGTTTTATCTACCGGAGATTTTTTTTTCAGATATGTCTCTTTCTTGTATGATACTTTGGCATCAATCCTCCCCTCCTAAACTCAAACTCTCCAAACCCAGGTCCTTAACCCTGCCAAATATAGACCACGCCGGAAATTTGGGTTTCGGTCCGGAATGTTTGTGTGCTATATAATTAAATATCTTATTTGGTTAAACAGAGTACTGTTAACATGCACTTCACACCACAAGTATCGCGGGCTGGTAAATTATTATCAATGGCCTTTTAAATCGATTCTTATGCTAATTAGAGGCGTGGTGTAACCAACACGTGTGTGCTTTGAATTCCCCACCTACACAGCTGTGACGTCATATAGGCGTGGTGATTGGAATGTTCTATAATACGAGGTCGCCGATAACTCCGATATTACGAGTAATAACATATAAAATACCCACAACTCTTTGTTTTAACATTGTGTATTGAAGTATCAATATTAATAAAATCACGGCTATTAATTATATCGGGAATAATTTATATATTCATTTTTTTATTAGAAACCGCAATATCATTTGAAATTTTGATACAGCGAAGGCGCAACAAGTCCAGACGTAGATTTTAACATAGAAATTATATTATGGGGCGATAGTGATGTTTACTTATATGAAACTAATTGTAATATTGTTAAATCTGTTGAAAAGTTTATAAAACAAAGACAGCGTTTTAACACTACACTGTTTGTAGTCGGCATTGAATTGATATAAGATTGATATGAAATCTGTACTATCTTTTTCTCTCTGTTTTTCTTTCTATCATATCATCTCTTTTTTTCCTCCTTTTGACAAAATGATTTAAATTTACAATTGTACGTCTACGAATAACTTTTCTTTATATTTATAGTATAGATATGTATCACGAGCAGTATATTAATTATTTGTAATTTCATTTATGGAGAAGACTTCATAAGTTGCTAGAACTTGTCTCTGATCTATTTATCTGCCACTGATAATAAAATATGTTTACACCAGCAAATCCAAATATATAAAAAATATATTTATCAGAACTGTCAGTTCGAAACATGATAATTTATTTAAAGTGTTGATTTCACAATTTGTTATGCATACGTTTAGAGAAAAATGGTTCAGTCATCGATCAGTTAACTAGAAAAAAAGTGCTTTAGTACATAAACACTGTAATTCACTTTCAGTTATTGACTTTTGATACTTGTAAATATTTCCCATCTCTCTGCAAGGTTGCGTAACGCTCAACTAATTTGGATATGCCTGATTGAAATTGCAAGCCATGTTTTATGTTAAAAGTTCTTTAAAACCAACGAAATTCTCTACAAAAACTGTATAAATTATATCGATCCATGTCTGGCCTAATACATCAAAGATGATATTTTTAAAAGTATTTACATGTCAAGATATTTTACTGTAGAACTATCAGTCCTAAATATTTACGTTTGAAAGTAACCTGAGAATCATTCATCTTTTTTACATTAATTACCATAAATACAATTACAAAAACAACAACGACGCTAATGTATGGCATAAATCCAGTTTATCGTTAAAGAAAACACACTAAATTTGTCAAAATTGATAGGTAATTACCTGTGCACGCTGTGCAGTACACATGTTACAAACAAATTTTATCATTCTTCGCTCTGTTGATAAGAATGGGTAGTTTTTAAAGAAGAATCATTTGTGCTATATAAGGTCACTATATGAAATCCATATCTACACTTCTACCAACACACACGTACAGTAGTGTGTCACATATTTGTTGACACATCGCGTAGGAAGTCAAGCCCCAGATAGTCTCTTTTCCTTTCACCAGATCATGTGTCACTGGAGTAGTTTGTAAGACATATTTGTATGAGTGTCCCGAGCCGGAGCGTAACCCAAATTAACCCAGACTTTACAGTGGTCTTCGTGATCGAACGCAACTGTGATATCGGATATAGCCACAATGAAGCGCCAAGATCTAACAGCCAGCTAGGTCAAGCTGAGTTTTATCTTGGTTTGAGGAAACACGATTCACGCGTTTGTCAAGTTTGACCAGTACACCCCCACATTAAACAGACGACCGGGATACTGACCACAACCTGACCAGCATACAAAATGGGTGACGGGTAAGTTTTTTATTTAATTGTCAAATTGTTAACAATGCAACCGATATTTGATAAATCTGATGTTTTATTCTGTCTGCAATAAGATCAATACAAAATACAGATCACAAACAAATGACCAGGGACAACTGAGCAATCATCTTATATATGGGAAAGGTTAAAGTTATTCTGGACAAGTGAAATTTACATGATGTACCTGTCAAATGGTAGAGAGTGGTTTCCATTGTCTTGCAAGTGAATTATACTCCACGTGCTCATATTTCAATTTGTATTCATTAATATTAAAAAGGACGACAGAAAGTCTTTTGTTCAGCATCAATTTTATCTGTGTGACCTGATGTGACATATGCTCATAATTTGATATCTACCAATTTCTCATTCGAAATATTCTACGCATGAATTATTTGAATTCAAATATTTAAGAAAGAGCCGTTAAGAGGTTATATCCAGCTTAGGGACCAGAGTTTTTCATAACTGGATGTTGGATTGTATTTAAACCGAACCATTATACATACTCTCCTTCTACCCGGTTTTAACTGTTTATATATAGCAAAATAATTCAGGGTTTGATCGAACGCGCCTTTATCTGTTTATATGTGAGTGTCATTGCATACCAAATCCAAAGTGGGTTCAATAGAAGTTGATAATGGACCGAGTTTTCTGTGTACTTTCAATTTAAATCCCATATCAGAACATTAATATCCGGCAGGTACACGATCGTTTGTGGACAATCTCCATGTCAGCTTGTTCCCTTCTTTGTCCTCCATATTGGACCGGAAACAACAACTCATGTTTACATTTATATTTACACGAAGTTGGACACAAAGAAAGTGTTGTCCAGTGTTATTTTATATGGTGGTTGTAATAATGGGTTTATTTTGCACGTTTTATCGTTTGTCTTAGTCTTATTCATTTAAACGCTTCATCCACACGCGTGTACAAATATATGGTTCCGAATAGAAATTAACAGGTGAAGTAGTTCCGAATGTGCTGTCCTAGCCTGTGAGCACGTGATCTTAACATTGCTGAACGTTAATGATGTTGTTATGACAACCCGTACGCCCACCGTGAATTATGATAATGTGCTATGGGTCAAAGATAGTGACCAGTGATTAATGGACAAAATCATCGCACCAGAAATTATAACTACGAGGAATTAAAAGGTGAACCGGAAACGGAAGTTCAGTCATTTAAGATATTCTTTTAACATGATTTTATATCATACTTATAAAATGGATGGTATACATTTTCTGCTGCATATCAGCCAGGTATTTGAGTGTAAAGTTTAGACTGTACTTTTTATAAAAGTTTGTAATCGCTGTGTAGTTGCCACAAGATGTGCGACACACGTGATAAATAACTATTTATTTTAAGACAACATATCTCTTACCTGGAAATGTTGAGTATATACCTTTGGGCGACTGATAAAGGACAGGGGACTATGACCCCTACAAAACATGTTCAAAACGCAAGTGTTGTTTTGTTTCTTTTAAAAAGATATGTATCTCTCTTGTTTACGTGAAATTATTGTCTATGCTATCGACCGCAAGAACAAACATACTAAAATGTCATTATCATATTTACTGGCCTGTGAACAGCCTGTTTATTGTTACAAGTCTGAGCAGTGATTTTTTATATACGGCAACTGTAATAATATTTAACTGCTGTAAAACTGTCGCGTCAGAGGTAATTAGGGACAGAAAGTGAGTGAATTTCGGACTAAGTAAGGGCCACTTATGCTAAAAGTTTTATACCGATGTAAGTTACAAGGCAGGTTATATTTAAGGACGTTTTTCATGGTGCCCTTGGCGAGATAATGTATTCGTCAGTAAGATTTGTCCTTTTCCGTATAATAACGATATAATACTCGGCCGCCCTGCCTGTAGGTCACACTACACGTAATGTAGAGAACAATTATCGTGAGTTCACAAATGCCAGGGTTTAACGCTAATGTTGCAAAATTCTCACAGTTAAATGCGTTTTAGAATTACATCACAGGGGTTCGGATCGCGTCGATATATCGTACTGAAGTCTGAACAAGTTCCTGCTTCAGCGACAACATCAACAGGAAGTACATCAGCAGTGAAGTTGATCACGAACTAATCTTGTTGACATCCTGTGTGGAATAATACTGTTTGGTATATATGACATGAAATACGTATGTTCAAGGTCAAGTAGATACAAGAGTACAGAATAAAGCTGTGATTTCAACCCCAATGTCACCCTAAAAATATGCATGTTCTAAAAGTTTTGTGTCTTTAATTGTATTAAGCGTTGTCCATCTTCATTACTTGTTATGTAAGTGTTTATCAGCGCCCAGTCATTGCTAAATTACGAGAGATCCATGGATGAAAGTAACATACATTTTAGTCAAAACGCCGAGAAAAGTAAATTGGCATCGGCAGATGTTCGACAAATAATCACTAAAAGGCTGTACCAATCGTGATATGATCCAGATTGTACTTCACCCAAGTATTGCAAACGTGACAGTATTAATATTGGGAGAATGTTGCTATACACAAGTTGTACATTACGCATTTATTGGCATTTATGTTCCTTTTTCTTGTATATATATTCGATTATATAAGATAGGTGTCTGTGTGGTGGTGGTGGTGGGAACCGCGCTGCCATTTATAATCACATCATCAACCATAATTATCACGGATGACATTAACAAAATAAACAAGTGCATGTAGCCATCACGCGCCAATATACATTTATTACTGGGCAAATGACATTCCGCGAGATAGAAATAGTCCAATATCATACAGATGCTGATCATTGATACGAAACGATGCATTGGATTTATAAATACTGACTCTACAGGAAGTGACGCATGCCAGAGATTTTATCATACAACAGAAGTTTAATCCACCATGCCAGAGTAAGTCGTAACGCATGACAACACTAGGTTTTGTGTCATAATCGTTGTGTTAATTAAAAATGGCGAATCATGTGCATTTTCTACTCAATAACTCGTATCTTTCCGATAACTTTTTGATCAATATTTCTTTATTTATTTTTACGTAAATAAAAGTTATCAGAACCGTGAAGTCAGTTTTCAATTTGTATATCTGAGAATGTTGTGTTTATTTGCACACTTCGTTCATAGTTTTAAGTTTTAGATAAAACATGTCTTTAGAAACAAGCCTTTCTTACAAGAACTGATACAAATATATCTTTTTCTTTCAACTTAATGATATTTGGGCAGTGGTAGTTTTTGTAGTCACGTGATAGAAGGTAAAAGGAAGTATTGTTTGATTTCCGGGCGAAAAGTGAAAACGTACAAATAAAACACGTTCAGGAAAAGGTCATTTCTTAAACAGAGTTGACATAGGCGTCTGAAAATAGTCCGACAGTTTGATCGCAAGTTTGTTACACTTCCTGCTAACAACAGGTGATAATCACTTGTGACGTAATCAGTGTTGACTACGTTCGGTCAAAAGGTCAGTGGCCGCTATTCATATAAAGATATAAACAAACAATTTCCTTAGCTTTCCCATGTTTGTATTAACTGTCTTTGTGCTATAAATTTTAGTTATCTAACCATGCTCAGCATAAAGGTACAGATGTGAAGGTTGTCTATGATAAAATCCAATTAGGTTCGATCCCGAAGGACTCCATTAGGGATCACTTTTCACCTCCATATGTCGTATTCCTCACCACCATGTGTGCTCGTCGTGAAAAACAAACAAAATGCCTTAATGAACAAGTCTTATGGATATCCAGTCGGAACATATTGTAATAAGTAGAAAATGTAAACAAAATGCTATGAAATATGACGTCACATGATGACGTCATCACCTTTTACGAAGAATGATAGTAAAAGACACAGTTCAGTTGTTAGACAGGATTTTTATTCGATGATTATGGGACTCACAATGGCTTTCATAAATCCTAATTTTTTTTCTTGCAAATAGGGAAAGTGCGTTGCAGATACAATTCTTACCCTCAGCCTGCTGGAGAGTAGTTATAAAAACCCCAAATTTTGTCGCCTGTTATGATCATTCATTGGGAACAGCAGGTACATTTCTTACACCCTACCTGCAGGCATTTAAAAACGTAGGTGTAATAATTACTTAAGAATGGATTGGGCCATTAATGCGATGATGTAGCAGCTATGATTGTGGTGTGAATAACTTATTGTCTTGTGCTGTCATTTATCATCTAAAGCAGATCGGTTTGATACCAGACAGTTGTGAAACGAGCCATGTTTAAAGCTGATAATGCAAGTTTAAAAAAATTGAGAGAAAAAAAAATTAAACTTGTGTATTGTCAGCTTTAAGTAGAATATTATAGCGTACAGTACATGTTTAATATTTAGAAAGTATCCAATATATTTCAACTTTAGGTTCTAAACAATTTAGAAAATTGTTTTTGTTTTTCGATGCCTCCGCCAAGGACCGGACCTTGTACCCCTCTGGTTTACTCAAGTTGACGAAGGTTAAATGAAGTATCTAATTTGCTACTACAATAGCAATTAGTTGACGTTCAGTACTGATGAACGATGAACTTCACAGAAGTATTGATTTGCAGGTCCAATAGGAATCACATTGATGGTGTTTCCCCTTTTTTCTTCCACTTTAGTCGAAGATCCCACATTCCGTCAGAAGATTTGAACAACTGTTTACTATTCTCTATCAGAACCTCTAGGATTGTCTTAACTACCATGTATCGAGAAAACCACGTTTGTGATTTTTCTTTGTAAATGTAAATTTCTTTTTTGAAAAGTTTAGAAATAAACGCGCGTGCAGTGTTTCGCGTGTGTAGTGTTTCGGACATGTAGTCTAGGTGCGTTCGTGTATATATTTCTTCATCTAGGTCTACGTCACAGATTTGTATGATGGTATATTGGGACTGTGCTCTGTTTTTCCACAGGATAACTGATGAAACAAAAATGAGATATTAAAATCAGTTCATATTACTACTGTTTTTACTGTAATCGAATTCAGCATCGTTAATTTACAGAAACTAGAAATGTACATATATTAGTACAATTTTAA